ACGACGTTCCCCCTCCTGGGACGAACATCGTCAGTGGCATGTGGATTTTCAGGGTGAAGCGGCCGCCTGGTTCTCCGCCTGTCTTCAAGGCACGTTACGTTGCTTGAGGCTTCAGTCAGCGAGAGGGGGTTGACTTCTTCCAGACCTTCTCCCCCACCCCGAAGATGACCACTCTTCGGTTGCTGCTGCACGTTGCCGCCCAGCGTGACTACGAGCTTCACTCACTTGACTTCAGCACAGCTTTCTTGCAGGGCAGCCTGCACGAGGAGATCTGGCTGCGCCGCCCACCTGGCTTCACTGGGTCGTTCCCTCCTGGTACTCAGTGGAGCCTCCGCCGGCCAGTCTACGGTCTCCGTCAGGCGCCTCGTGAGTGGCACGACACACTGAGGACTACGCTTGCGGCTCTCGGGTTTGCGCCCTCCACAGCTGACCCGTCACTGTTTCTGCGCACCGACACTTCGCTGCCGCCGTTCTACATCCTCGTGTACGTCGACGACTTGGTCTTTGCCACTGCTGACACTGAGGCTCTCGCCCTGGTGAAGTCGGAGCTGCAGAAGAGACACACGTGCACAGATCTGGGTGAGCTGCGTAGCTACCTTGGCTTGCAGATCACCCGGAACAGAGCACGCCGCACCATCACTCTGACTCAGTCACACATGGTGCAGCAGGTCCTTCAGCGCTTCGGCTTCACCTGGTCCTCGCCACAGTCCACTCCTCTGGCTACAGGTCACTCGCTCTCAGCTCCACCTTCGGACGAGTCCGTAGAGCCGAGTGGTCCTTACCCAGAGCTAGTAGGCTGCCTCATGTACCTGATGACTTGCACTCGTCCTGACCTTGCGTACCCTCTTGGCCTTTTGGCCCGCTACGTGGCTCCTGGTCGGCACCGAAAGGTGCACTGGGATGCTGCGAAGAGGGTACTGCGCTACTTGTGCAGTACATCGGGCATGGGGCTCGTGCTTGGAGGACGGCGAGAGGTGGTCCTCACTGGGCACTCAGACGCGTCTTGGGTTGACGACCAGGCTATGCAGCGGTCGTCACAGGGTTACACTTTCAGCCTCGGCTCTGGCTCTGTTTCGTGGCGTTCTACTCGCTCGTCTTCTGTTCTCAGCTCCAGTTGTGAGGCTGAGATCTACGCCACCGCCATGGCTGCTCAGGAGCTGCGCTGGCTCACGTACCTGCTGACCGACCTGGGAGAGTGGCCTCGTTCTCCTCCAGTTCTGTACGTTGACAACAAGGCAGCCATTGCCTTGTGTGAGGAGCACAGACTGGAGCACAGAACGAAGCACATCGCTCTGCGTTACTTCCTGGCTCGAGAGTTGCAGCAGCGTGGTCAGCTTCGTCTTGCACACGTGGCCAACACTGCTGATATATTCACCAAGGCACTTCCGTCTGGTGATCATCAGCGCTTTTGTACCTTGTTGGGCCTTGTGCCTACGTTTCCACACTTGCTGTAGACTCTGCCTGTACTGTGATCTTTATATATATATATATACCTGCATGCTTGCTCTTGCTATGTAGTGATCACTGTACTTTGTTTGTTGCATACATTCCTCTGCATGTGGACAGGCCTTGTGGCCCTTTGCTTGTGCTCAGTGTGTGTGGTGACGTTGTGATCCACCCTGAGCTTGTTTTGTTTCTCTTGACTGGTCTTGTGACCCCTTGTTCTCCCCCACTTTGCCTATGGGGGTGTGTCAAACTATGCATATTGTGTTTGTGTAGGCTGCTAGTGGGGTAGCCCATATGGGGTACAACCCAATGTTAGGGTTAGCTTATGTACCCAACTCTTGATCAATGCATCATCCTTGTCTCTAGATTCTAACAGGTACTTCCTCCTTCGAGAGTTGCAGAGACGCGGACAGGCTCGTCTGGACTTTGTGGCCTCCGAGGCCAACACTGCAGACATCTTCACCAAGGCCCTCCAGCCTTGTGATCACCACCGGTTTTGTCTGCAGTTAGGCCTCGTTGAGACTGGGTCTAGTTGACTGCTGTAGGGTGCTCTTTGTCTGTTGCTTGCTTGTACCTTATATATATTTGTTTGCACACTTTTGGACTGGCCTTGTGGCCCTTTGCTTGTGCTCAGATTAGGTGGTGACGTTGTGATCCACCCTGAGCTTTGTTTTCTTTCTCTTGCTTTTGACTGGTCTTGTGACCGTAGGTTGCTTGTTGTTGATTGGCCTTCCCCACTTAGGCTATGGGGGTGTGTCAAATATTATAGCCTGTAGTGGGTTGGGCTATATGGGGTACAACTAGTTAGGGTTAGGTTATGTACCCCAATTCTGTCAATGCAACACATTCCGCTGTAGTTCTCATTCCAACACACACTTACTGCTAGTGCATTCATTCCTGCTTGTAGATTCTGACACAGCAATGCTTGGGCGAATTCCGTACAATCTGCCGCCGCCGCGCACGTACAACATACGTAGCCACCAGGGTGAGTGCGAGAGCGAGCCTTATGCTAGCCTGTTATATATAACTGATCAATGGGTCAATGGTCAAAACCTTGGGTTTGATGGCCGTGGTGGGGAAGATGTTCGAGAGTGCATGCATGCTTGCTTTTACTTGTGCCCATACAGGCCACGGAGGCTGGAGGCCCGGTGCTTAACCGACGACCCCAGCTATGCGCTGATTGGCCCGCTGGACTTGTACGCCGCCTTTGATGCAGCCTTGGAGGGCGGCCTCGGTTTCTACGAGGTTGTGATGCGCAGCAGCGGCTTCCTTCCCTTCCCTGTGTGGGTACGTATGCAGTGAGCCAAGCGCCGCTGTTAGCTGCTCCCTTTACTCTTTGCAGCATAACTTTTACACTCCCGCACGCCCTACATCCACGAGCTATCCTAAACCACGTAGCATGCGCACCCCTGATCAACCCCAGTGATCCTGACTTCAAAATCGTCGTGGTTAGGTTTTGTTACCCGTGCTCAGTTTACGCCTCTCTCTTTCTATATGCAGGTCCACTCCGCGCTCGCGATCCCGTCCCGCATCCTCAACGGGACCCTTCTCAAGCAGCACTATGCCCGTGTAATGCCCACCCATCACGGTGGGCAAGGGTTCTCCTTGGTGAAGTTCCGCAACGCGCATGGCACGCTGCCTCCACCTTGTGCTCACCGCACACAGCACGCACGAGGATGTGGAGGCCAGCAACATCCCTGTGGCCTTCATCTGCCAGTTCTCGCCCATCGGGATGGATAAGTGCACCGGCTGCATGGCCATGAGGCCAGAGACGGGTGCACAGGGTCCTACAGCCGAAATGATACAGTAGTTCAGTAAAGCGTATTTACATCATGGTAGTGAGATACACGTCTCCTTCCCTTTAAAGTTTCTCACACGATCACCCTGATCTCCACTGCAGACAAAGAACAAGGCACATGATACAGTACACGTGGAGTGGAGAGGAAGCGCTTTGGCTGATGGAGTGAACTCACGGAGTGAACAAATGTGTGCGACATGTGAAGCGCAGAACAAAAAGCCACAAAATGAATGGTGCTTGGTAGGGAATGCAGAGGAAACAAACCCTGGGGTAGAAGAAGATGTTTACAAGCAAGGGGGCGTGCATGAGTGGCACCTGTTGTGCGATGTCGTCCTCCCTGGACGGTCCCTGCGGCTTGGCAGCAGCCGCCGCCATGGCTGAGCGCGCTGCCCTCCCCTGCGCTGAACTCTCAAAGCGCGCCGCCCTGGGGAGACGAGGGGGGTTGGGCAAGGCGGCAGAGGGACAAAGCGGTGAAGTGATGGGCGAATGCGAGCTCACTGTGAAAGGCGAGCTGATGGGCGTGGTGAGGTGATGGGTGGAGGTGAATTGCATGAGCAGAGAAAAGAAACTCTAAGGATTAGGTATGAGTGGGTTGGTGGCATGGCTGCGTGGTTGATAGCATGGCTGCGTGGTTGATAGCATGGCTGCGTGGTTGATAGCATGGCTGCGTGGTTGATAGCATGGCTGCGTGGTTGATAGCATGGCTGCGTGGTTGATAGCATGGCTGCGTGGTTGATAGCATGGCTGCGTGGTTGATAGCATGGCTGCGCGGTTGATAGCATGGCTGCGTGGTTGATAGCATGGCTGCGTGGTTGATAGCATGGCTGCGTGGTTGATAGCATGGCTGCGTGGTTGATAGCATGGCATGGAAGCACTGCGAGCGCAACCACCCACCCAACCACTGACATCACATCACACCCTATTCGCCGCCGACCCAGTTCCCCTCACATCCCATCTCCTATTCACACGTCTCAAACCTCCCATCTTCGGTCAGTTCTATTTGTGCTCTTCCATTTGTCGTGGAAAGGGCACGAGCCCCGCTGCAGTGAGGCCGACGGGTCACTCTGCCAGGCGCTCATTCGCTCATTTGCCCCTCTCCCGTCTCCCTTGCCCCTCCCCGTCTCCCTTGCCCCTCTCCCGGCTCCCTTGCCCCTCTCCCGTCTTCCTTGCTTGCCCCTCTCCGTCTCCCTTGCCCCCTCTCCCGTCTTCCTTGCCCTTCTAACGTCTCCCTTGCCCTCCCTCCCGTCTCCCAAATGCCAACTTGACATTGAACACCTCTCACAAATCAGAAACACAAAGAACATCCTCAACATCCTCAACATCCTCAACATCCTCAACATCCTCAACATCCTCAACATCCTCAACATCCTCAACATCCTCAACATCCTCAACATCCTCAACATCCTCAACATCCTCAACATCCTCAACATCCTCAACATCCTCAACATCCTCAACATCCTCAACATCCTCAACATCACAGCCGCAACAGCCGCAACAGCCGCAACGGCCGCAACAGCGCAACAGCCGCAACAGCCGCAACAGCCGCAACAGCCGCAACAGCCGCAACAGCCTCAACAGCCGAACAGCCGCAACAGCCGCAACAGCCGCAACAGCCGCAACAGCCGCAACAGCCGCAACAGCCGCAACAGCCGCACACTAGCCGCAACAGCCGCAACAGCCGCAACAGCCGCAACAGCCGAACAGCCGCAACAGCCGCAACAGCCGCAACAGCCGCAACAGCCGCAACAGCCGCAACATGCCGCAACAGCCAACAGCCTCGCAAACAGCCGCAACAGCCGCAACAGCCGCAACAGCCGCAACAGCCGCAACAGCCGCAACAGCCGCAACAGCCGCAACAGCCTCAACAGCCTCACAGCCGCAACAGCCGCAACAGCGCAACAGCCGCAACAGCCGCAACAGCCGCAACAGCCGCAACAGCCGCAACAGCCGCAACAGCCGCACAGCCGCAACAGCCGCAACAGCCGCAACAGCCGCAACAGCCGCAACAGCCGCAACAGCCGCAAAAGCCGCAACAGCCGCACAGCCGCAACAGCCGCAACAGCCGCAACAGCCGCAACAGCCGCAACAGCCGCAACGGCCGCAACGGCCGCAACGGCCGCAACAGCCGCAACATCCGCAACAGCCGCAACAGCCGCAACAGCCGCAACGGCCGCAACGGCCGCAAACGGCCGCAACCAGCCGCAACAGCCGCAACAGCCGCAACAGCCGCAACAGCCGCAACAGCCGCAACAGCCGCAACAGCCGCACAGCCGAACAGCCGCAACCGCCGCAACAAGCCGCAACAGCCGCAACAGCCGCAACAGCCGCAACCGCCGCAACAGCCGCAACAGCCGCAACAGCCGCAACAGCCGCAACAGCCGCACACAGCCGCAACAGCCGCAACAGCCGCAACAGCCGCAACAGCCGCAACAGCCTCAACAGCCGCAACAGCCGCAAACAGCCGTCAACAGCCGCAACGGCCGCAACAGCCGCAACAGCCGCAACAGCCGCAACAGCCGCAACAGCCGCAACAGCCGCAACAGCCGCAACAGCCGCACAGCCGCAACAGCCGCAACGGCGCAACGGCCGCAACAGCCGCAACAGCCGCAACAGCCGCAACAGCCGCAACAGCCGCAACAGCCGCAACAGCCGCAACCGCCGCAACAGCCGCAACAGCCGCAACAGCCCAACAGCCGCAACAGCCGCAACAGCCGCAACAGCCGCAACAGCCGCAACAGCCGCAACAGCCGCAAACAGCCGCAACAGCCGCAACGGCCGCAACGGCCGCAACAGCCGCAACAGCCGCAACAGCCGCAACAGCCGCAACAGCCGCAACAGCGCAACACCGCAACAGCCGCAACAGCCGCAACAGCCGCAACAGCCGCAACAGCCGCAACAGCCGCAACAGCCGCAACAGCCGCACAGCCGCAACAGCCGCAACAGCCGCAACAGCCGCAACAGCCGCAACAGCCGCAACAGCCATCCTCAACATCCTCAACATCCTCAACATCCTCAACATCCTCAACATCCTCAACATCCTCAACATCCTCAACATCCTCAACATCCTCAACATCCTCAACATCCTCAACATCCTCAACATCCTCAACATCCTCAACATCCTCAACATCCTCAACATCCTCAACACCCACAATCCTCAACATCCTCAACAATCCTCAACATCCTCAACATCCTCAACATCCTCAACATCCTCAACATCCTCAACATCCTCAACATCCTCAACATCCTCAACATCCTCAACTTCCTCAACAAACATCCTCAACATCCTCAACATCCTCAACATCCTCAACTTCCTCAACTTCCTCAACATCCTCAACATCCTCAACATCCTCAACATCCTCAACATCCTCAACATCCTCAACATCCTCAACATCCTCAACATCCTCAACATCCTCAACATCCTCAACATCCTCAACATCCTCAACATCCTCAACATCCTCAACATCCTCAACATCCTCAACATCCTCAACATCCTCAACATCCTCAACATCCTCATCCCTCAACTTCCTCAACTTCCTCAACTTCCTCAACATTCCTCAACATCCTCAACATCCTCAACATCCTCAACATCCTCAACATCCTCAACATCCTCAACATCCTCAACTTCCTCAACTTCCTCAACTTCCTCAACATCCTCAACATCCTCAACATCCTCAACATCCTCAACATCCTCAACAATCCTCACATCCTCAACATCCTCAACTTCCTCAACTTCCTCAACATCCTCAACATCCTCAACATCCTCAACATCCTCAACATCCTCAACATCCTCAACATCCTCAACATCCTCAACATCCTCAACATCCTCAACATCCTCAACATCCTCAACATCCTCAACATCCTCAACATCCTCAACATCCTCAACATCCTCAACATCCTCAACATCCTCAACATCCTCAACATCCTCAACATCCTCAACATCCTCAACATCCTCAACATCCTCAACATCCTCAACATCCTCAACATCCTCAACATCCTCAACATCCTCAACATCCTCAACATCCTCAACATCCTCAACACCTCACATCTCAACATCCCTCAACATCCTCAACATCCTCAACATCCTCAACATCCTCAACATCCTCAACATCCTCAACATCCTCAACATCCTCAACATCCTCAACATCCTCAACATCCTCAACATCCTCAACATCCTCAACATCCTCAACTTCCTCAACTTCCTCCTCAACATCCTCAACATCCTCAACATCCTCAACATCCTCAACATCCTCAACATCCTCAACATCCTCAACATCCTCAACATCCTCAACATCCTCAACATCCTCAACATCCTCAACATCCTCAACATCCTCAACATCCTCAACATCCTCAACATCCTCAACATCCTCAACATCCTCAACATCCTCAACATCCTCAACTTCCTCAACTCCTCAACATCCTCAACATCCTCAACATCCTCAACATCCTCAACATCCTCAACATCCTCAACATCCTCAACATCCTCAACATCCTCAACATCCTCAACATCCTCAACATCCTCAACATCCTCAACATCCTCAACATCCTCAACATCCTCAACATCCTCAACATCCTCAACATCCTCAACATCCTCAACATCCTCAACATCCTCAACATCCTCAACATCCTCAACATCCTCAACATCCTCAACATCCTCAACATCCTCAACATCCTCAACATCCTCAACATCCTCAACATCCTCAACATCCTCAACATCCTCAACATCCTCAACATCCTCAACATCCTCAACATCCTCAACATCCTCAACATCCTCAACATCCTCAACATCCTCAACATCCTCAACTTCCTCAACTTCCTCCTCAACTTCCTCAACATCCTCAACATCCTCAACATCCTCAACATCCTCAACATCCTCAACATCCTCAACATCCTCAACATCCTCAACTTCCTCAACTTCCTCAACTTCCTCAACATCCTCAACATCCTCAACATCCTCAACATCCTCAACATCCTCAACATCCTCAACATCCTCAACATCCATCCTCACTTCCTCAACTCCTCAACATCCTCAACATCCTCAACATCCTCAACATCCTCAACATCCTCAACATCCTCAACATCCTCAACATCCTCAACATCCTCAACATCCTCAACATCCTCAACATCCTCAACATCCTCAACATCCTCAACATCCTCAACATCCTCAACATCCTCAACATCCTCAACATCCTCAACATCCTCAACATCCTCAACATCCTCAACATCCTCAACATCCTCAACATCCTCAACATCCTCAACATCCTCAACATCCTCAACATCCTCAACATCCTCAACATCCTCAACATCCTCAACATCCTCAACATCCTCAACATCCTCAACATCCTCAACATCCTCAACATCCTCAACATCCTCAACTCCTCACATCCTCAACATCCTCAACATCCTCAACATCCTCAACATCCTCAACATCCTCAACATCCTCAACATCCTCAACATCCTCAACATCCTCAACATCCTCAACATCCTCAACATCCTCAACATCCTCAACATCCTCAACATCCTCAACATCCTCAACATCCTCAACATCCTCAACATCCTCAACATCCTCAACATCCTCAACATCCTCAACATCCTCAACATCCTCAACATCCTCAACATCCTCAACATCCTCAACATTCCTCACAACATCCTCAACATCCTCAACATCCTCAACATCCTCAACATCCTCAACATCCTCAACATCCTCAACATCCTCAACATCCTCAACATCCTCAACATCCTCAACATCCTCAACATCCTCAACATCCTCAACATCCTCAACAATTCCACCTCAACTTCCTCAACATCCTCAACATCCTCAACATCCTCAACATCCTCAACATCCTCAACATCCTCAACATCCTCAACATCCTCAACATCCTCAACATCCTCAACATCCTCAACATCCTCAACATCCTCAACATCCTCAACATCCTCAACATCCTCAACATCCTCAACATCCTCAACATCCTCAACATCCTCAACATCCTCAACATCCTCAACATCCTCAACATCCTCAACATCCTCAACATCCTCAACATCCTCAACATCCTCAACATCCTCAACATCCTCAACATCCTCAACATCCTCAACATCCTCAACATCCTCAACATCCTCAACATCCTCAACATCCTCAACATCCTCAACATCCTCAACATCCTCAACATCCTCAACATCCTCAACATCCTCAACATCCTCAACATCCTCAACATCCTCAACATCCTCAACATCCTCAACATCCTCAACATCCTCAACATCCTCAACATCCTCAACATCCTCAACATCCTCAACATCCTCAACATCCTCAACATCCTCAACATCCTCAACATCCTCAACATCCTCAACATCCTCAACATCCTCAACATCCTCAACATCCTCAACATCCTCAACATCCTCAACATCCTCAACATCCTCAACATCCTCAACATCCTCAACATCCTCAACATCCTCAACATCCTCAACATCCTCAACATCCTCAACATCCTCAACATCCTCAACATCCTCAACTTCCTCAACATCCTCAACATCCTCAACATCCTCAACATCCTCAACATCCTCAACATCCTCAACATCCTCAACATCCTCAACATCCTCAACATCCTCAACATCCTCAACATCCTCAACATCCTCAACTTCCTCAACTCCTCACAAATCCTCAACATCCTCAACATCCTCAACATCCTCAACATCCTCAACATCCTCAACATCCTCAACATCCTCAACATCCTCAACATCCTCAACATCCTCAACTTCCTCAACATCCTCAACATCCTCAACATCCTCAACATCCTCAACATCCTCAACATCCTCAACATCCTCAACATCCTCAACATCCTCAACATCCTCAACATCCTCAACATCCTCAACATCCTCAACATCCTCAACATCCTCAACATCCTCAACATCCTCAACATCCTCAACATCCTCAACATCCTCAACATCCTCAACATCCTCAACATCCTCAACATCCTCAACATCCTCAACATCCTCAACATCCTCAACATCCCCTCACATCCTCAACATCCTCAACATCCTCAACATCCTCAACATCCTCACAATCCTCAACATCCTCAACATCCTCAACATCCTCAACATCCTCAACATCCTCAACATCCTCAACAATCCTCACATCCTCAACATCCTCAACATCCTCAACATCCTCAACATCCTCAACATCCTCAACATCCTCAACATCCTCAACATCCTCAACATCCTCAACATCCTCAACATCCTCAACATCCTCAACATCCTCAACATCCTCAACATCCTCAACATCCTCAACATCCTCAACATCCTCAACATCCTCAACATCCTCAACATCCTCAACATCCTCAACATCCTCAACATCCTCAACATCCTCAACATCCTCAACATCCTCAACATCCTCAACATCCTCAACATCCTCAACATCCTCAACATCCTCAACATCCTCAACATCCTCAACATCCTCAACATCCTCAACATCCTCAACATCCTCAACATCCTCAACATCCTCAACATCCTCAACATCCTCAACATCCTCAACATCCTCAACATCCTCAACATCCTCAACATCCTCAACATCCTCAACATCCTCAACATCCTCAACATCCTCAACATCCTCAACATCCTCAACATCCTCAACATCCTCAACATCCTCAACATCCTCAACATCCTCAACATCCTCAACATCCTCAACATCCTCAACATCCTCAACATCCTCAACATCCTCAACATCCTCAACATTCAAATCAACATCCTCAACATCCTCAACATCCTCAACATCCTCAACATCCTCAACATCCTCAACATCCTCAACATCCTCAACATCCTCAACATCCTCAACATCCTCAACATCCTCAACATCCTCAACATCCTCAACATCCTCAACATCCTCAACATCCTCAACATCCTCAACATCCTCAACATCCTCAACATCCTCAACATCCTCAACATCCTCAACATCCTCAACATCCTCAACATCCTCAACATCCTCAACATCCTCAACATCCTCAACATCCTCAACATCCTCAACATCCTCAACATCCTCAACATCCTCAACATCCTCAACATCCTCAACATCCTCAACATCCTCAACATCCTCAACATCCTCAACATCCTCAACATCCTCAACATCCTCAACATCCTCAACATCCTCAACATCCTCAACATCCTCAACATCCTCAACATCCTCAACATCCTCAACATCCTCAACATCCTCAACATCCTCAACATCCTCAACATCCTCAACATCCTCAACATCCTCAACATCCTCAACATCCTCAACATCCTCAACATCCTCAACATCCTCAACATCCTCAACATCCTCAACATCCTCAACATCCTCAACATCCTCAACATCCTCAACATCCCAACAACATCCTCAACATCCTCAACATCCTCAACATCCTCAACATCCTCAACAGCTCAACATCCTCAACATCCTCAACATCCTCAACATCCTCAACATCCTCAACATCCTCAACATCCTCAACATCCTCAACATCCTCAACATCCTCAACATCCTCAACATCCTCAACATCCTCAACATCCTCAACATCCTCAACATCCTCAACATCCTCAACATCCTCAACATCCTCAACATCCTCAACATCCTCAACATCCTCAACATCCTCAACATCCTCAACATCCTCAACATCCTCAACATCCTCAACATCCTCAACATCCTCAACATCCTCAACATCCTCAACATCCTCAACATCCTCAACATCCTCAACATCCTCAACATCCTCAACATCCTCAACATCCTCAACATCCTCAACATCCTCAACATCCTCAACATCCTCAACATCCTCAACATCCTCAACATCCTCAACATCCTCAACATCCTCAACATCCTCAACATCCTCAACATCCTCAACATCCTCAACATCCTCAACATCCTCAACATCCTCAACATCCTCAACATCCTCAACATCCTCAACATCCTCAACATCCTCAACATCCTCAACATCCTCAACATCCTCAACATCCTCAACATCCTCAACATCCTCAACTCCTCCGCACATCCTCAACATCCTCAACATCCTCAACATCCTCAACATCCTCAACATCCTCAATCATCTCAACATCCTCAACATCCTCACATCCTCAACATCCTCAACATCCTCAACATCCTCAACATCCTCAACATCCTCAACATCCTCAACATCCTCAACATCCTCAACATCCTCAACATCCTCAACATCCTCAACATCCTCAACATCCTCAACATCCTCAACATCCTCAACATCCTCAACATCCTCAACATCCTCAACATCCTCAACATCCTCAACATCCTCAACATCCTCAACATCCTCAACATCCTCAACATCCTCAACATCCTCAACATCCTCAACATCCTCAACATCCTCAACATCCTCAACATCCTCAACATCCTCAACATCCTCAACTTCCTCAACATCCTCAACATCCTCAACATCCTCAACATCCTCAACATCCTCAACATCCTCAACATCCTCAACATCCTCAACATCCTCAACATCCTCAACATCCTCAACATCCTCAACATCCTCAACATCCTCAACATCCTCAACATCCTCAACATCCTCAACATCCTCAACATCCTCAACATCCTCAACATCCTCAACATCCTCAACATCCTCAACATCCTCAACATCCTCAACATCCTCAACATCCTCAACATCCTCAACATCCTCAACATCCTCAACATCCTCAACATCCTCAACATCCTCAACATCCTCAACATCCTCAACATCCTCAACATCCTCAACATCCTCAACATCCTCAACATCCTCAACATCCTCAACATCCTCAACATCCTCAACATCCTCAACATCCTCAACATCCTCAACATCCTCAACATCCTCAACATCCTCAACATCCTCAACATCCTCAACATCCTCAACATCCTCAACATCCTCAACATCCTCAACATCCTCAACATCCTCAACATCCTCAACATCCTCAACATCCTCAACATCCTCAACATCCTCAACATCCTCAACATCCTCAACATCCTCAACATCCTCAACATCCTCAACCCCTCAACATCCTCAACATCCTCAACATCCTCAACATCCTCAACATCCTCAACATCCTCAACATCCTCAACATCCTCAACATCCTCAACATCCTCAACATCCTCAACATCCTCAACATCCTCAACATCCTCAACATCCTCAACATCCTCAACATCCTCAACATCCTCAACATCCTCAACATCCTCAACATCCTCAACATCCTCAACATCCTCAACATCCTCAACATCCTCAACATCCTCAACATCCTCAACATCCTCAACATCCTCAACATCCTCAACATCCTCAACATCCTCACACCTCAACATCCTCAACATCCTCAACATCCTCAACATCCTCAACATCCTCAACATCCTCAACATCCTCAACATCCTCAACATCCTCAACATCCTCAACATCCTCAACATCCTCCTCACATCCTCAACATCCTCAACATCCTCAACATCCTCAACATCCTCAACATCCTCAACATCCTCAACATCCTCAACATCCTCAACATCCTCAACATCCTCAACATCCTCAACATCCTCAACATCCTCAACATCCTCAACATCCTCAACATCCTCAACATCCTCAACATCCTCAACATCCTCAACATCCTCAACATCCTCAACATCCTCAACATCCTCAACATCCTCAACATCCTCAACATCCTCAACATCCTCAACATCCTCAACATCCTCAACATCCTCAACATCCTCAACATCCTCAACATCCTCAACATCCTCAACATCCTCAACATCCTCAACATCCTCAACATCCTCAACATCCTCAACATCCTCAACATCCTCAACATCCTCAACATCCTCAACATCCTCAACATCCTCAACTTCCTCAACATCCTCAACATCCTCAACATCCTCAACATCCTCAACATCCTCAACATCCTCAACATCCTCAACATCCTCAACATCCTCAACATCCTCAACATCCTCAACATCCTCAACATCCTCAACATCCTCAACATCCTCAACATCCTCAACATCCTCAACATCCTCAACATCCTCAACATCCTCAACATCCTCAACATCCTCAACATCCTCAACATCCTCAACATCCTCAACATCCTCAACATCCTCAACATCCTCAACATCCTCAACATCCTCAACATCCTCAACATCCTCAACATCCTCAACATCCTCAACATCCTCAACATCCTCAACATCCTCAACATCCTCAACATCCTCAACATCCTCAACATCCTCAACATCCTCAACATCCTCAACATCCTCAACATCCTCAACATCCTCAACATCCTCAACATCCTCAACATCCTCAACATCCTCAACATCCTCAACATCCTCAACATCCTCAACATCCTCAACATCCTCAACATCCTCAACATCCTCAACATCCTCAACATCCTCAACATCCTCAACATCCTCAACATCCTCAACATCCTCAACATCCTCAACATCCTCAACATCCTCAACATCCTCAACATCCTCAACATCCTCAACATCCTCAACATCCTCAACATCCTCAACATCCTCAACATCCTCAACATCCTCAACATCCTCAACATCCTCAACATCCTCAACATCCTCAACATCCTCAACATCCTCAACATCCTCAACATCCTCAACATCCTCAACATCCTCAACATCCTCAACATCCTCAACATCCTCAACATCCTCAACATCCTCAACATCCTCAACATCCTCAACATCCTCAACATCCTCAACATCCTCAACATCCTCAACATCCTCAACATCCTCAACATCCTCAACATCCTCAACATCCTCAACATCCTCAACATCCTCAACATCCTCAACATCCTCAACATCCTCAACATCCTCAACATCCTCAACATCCTCAACATCCTCAACATCCTCAACATCCTCAACATCCTCAACATCCTCAACATCCTCAACATCCTCAACATCCTCAACATCCTCAACATCCTCAACATCCTCAACATCCTCAACATCCTCAACATCCTCAACATCCTCAACATCCTCAACATCCTCAACATCCTCAACATCCTCAACATCCTCAACATCCTCAACATCCTCAACATCCTCAACATCCTCAACATCCTCAACATCCTCAACATCCTCAACATCCTCAACATCCTCAACATCCTCAACATCCTCAACATCCTCAACATCCTCAACATCCTCAACATCCTCAACATCCTCAACATCCTCAACATCCTCAACTTCCTCAACATCCTCAACATCCTCAACTTCATCCTCGTCACTCCCCTCGCTACCCCTCTTATAGTTTATTTTTTCATTGCTGCCCAAAAGATTGTTTTCCGCTGCCTGTCAGAGCATAAACAACTGAGTCAGAAGAATCGGGATTGTGAGTCAAGTGTCCAGACGCTAGCATCAAAGTCACTTGACGCGTCAATTCCAACATAAATCCCATCGCCATGCCCCCCTCCCGCCAACCTTGCCCTCTCCCGTCCTCGTTTTCCCTCTCCCATTCCTTGCCCTCTCCCATCCCTTTTCCCCCTTTCCCATTCCATCCCCTTTGTCCTCTCCCGTCCCCCTTGCCCCTCTCCCGTTCCCTTGTCCCTTTTTGTCCCCCTTACCCTCCACCATCCCCCTTACCCTCTCCCGTCCCCCATGCCCCTCTCCCGTCGCCCGTGCCCCTCTTTCATCCCCTCTCCCATCCCCATTCCCCTCCCAAATTCCCCCTCGCCCCACCCCCATTTCTTCCCCTGTTCCTCTTCCCCCCACCCGCCCTCCCCGTCCTCCCTACCCCCCATCCCCGCGAGCACCTTTCCTCGGCGGCCTGCGCGGCTCTGCTGCGCGCATGCGCCACCTCCTGCCTCTCCGCGTCGGACAGCGGGCGCTCGCTGCGCGGGTAGAAGCAGTCGAAGCACGACACCAGAGCGCCCATCCCCGCCTGCGCGCGGGCGGGACGAGCAAAGGCGGTCGTTCGGACGAACAGGAGTGTGGGGTTGGGGAGAGAGAAAGGGGGCGAGAGTAATGCACGGACTGGAGGAAACGAGAACGAAAAGGGCGGGAGAGGCAGGGCGAAGATAAATGAGCGACGCGGCAGATTCCCACCAACGATGGCTACAGCAGAAGCGGGAGGGCGATGCCGGGTATTCCTGGCCGTGGTCGCTGGCTGCCCCGTCAATCTAACGAGATTATATGTTTCCCCGCGCTACCGTCGACTTCATCTGCTCTCGCTTCGTGACGCTTGCGCGACGAGACGCGAGGCGAGACTTGGACCGAGCGTGAGGAGCAAGGATTTGGTGCCGCTGTGTGTGTTGGCTTGGTCATTTCACTCCCTTTTTCTGGAACGTGTGCTGGCGTGGGGCTTGAGCCCCGAACCCGAACACCCAACCAACAGGTTCGATTCCATGCCATGCCCTACAAGTTGAACCCGCACTTGACCGTTTCGCACCGTACTGTATCGCAGAGTCCTAATGATAGAAATGCCACGCCTTCTCCGCTATTGCTGATTTGAAATCTCGAAAGGGCAGCCCGGCAAGTGGACGCCATCATATCCCGTACTCTACACCAGAGGCACTTGATCAGTGTCGTCGACGCGCCTCACACCTTCCGTCGTCAGCTCTGCGCCACCAAGTCACGGACTTCCCTGTCACGGGACCTTTTCCCCGACCGACCTGCACAGTTGATCGCACTCACGCACGTGTCTCAGCGCGCCTGCCCTCAGCGCGCGTGCTTGCTGCGCGCACCGGAGAGAACCCTCCTCTGCCCGTCGGGCTGCGCGCTTTCGCCACTCGCCGCTGCGCGCCGCTGCCGCCTGTGAGCGTCACAGCGGCGCCTGCGGGGCTTCGAGGCCGTCTGGCGGGCCGCGCCACGCGACGGCGGGGCGGCGCCGGGCGGCATGGCGGCGGCGGTGAAGGCGAGTGCGCGGTGCGCGGAGAACGAGGCGGTGGTGGCGTACCTGCAGGGCCGGCAGCGCGAGCTGTGCGGCGAGTGGGACGGCGCGCTCACGCGCGCGTTCCGCATGGCCATCGCGAGCATCAGCGACCACTCGCAGCCGCTGCGCACCCTCAACGACGCCAGCAAGCTCAGGTGCCTCAACGACGCCAGCAAGCTCAGGTGCCTCAACGACGCCAGCAAGCTCAGGTGCCTCAACGACGCCAGCAAGCTCAGGTGCCTCAACGACGCCAGCAAGCTCAGGTGCCTCAACGACGCCAGCAAGCTCAGGTGCCTCAACGATGCCAGCAAGCTCAGGTGCCTCAACGACGCCAGCAAGCTCAGGTGCCTCAACGACGCCAGCAAGCTCAGGTGCCTCAACGACGCCAGCAATCTCAGGTTTCAGCTCGCGTGGCGCCGTGTTCTCATCTCCCCGAGTTGCACTCGCATGCCGCGCCCATGCCCCACTGCCCACGGAACGCCACCCCCGTACCTTCCCCCCGCCCTTTCCTCTCTTCCCCACGTCCTCCTCCCCCCCCCCCCACTCAGGAACGTGGGCCCCGCCATCCAGCGGCAGCTGAAGGCGTTCTTCGCCACCCACAAGCCCGCCGCCCGCCCCCGCACTCCCACCCCGCCCGCCAATAGCGCGCTGCCAGCTGGCAGCGACCCGGGTATGGCGGTGGGCGCAGGGGCGATGGACATGGCTCCTGTGGGAGGTGAGACGGGGGCAGGGGAGGTGGGATGGGGGCAGGGGAGGTGGGAGCACAAGGCAAGGGAGAGAGGTAAGGGCACGAGTGCAGAGGAGCAGCGCATGTGGTGCATCATGGGGGGCGTGGCGAGCGAGAAAGTGTGCGCAGTGCATGAGTGTGCGCAGTGCATGAGTGTGCGCAGTGCATGAGTGTGCGCAGTGCATGAGTGTGCGCAGTGCATGAGTGTGCGCAGTGCATGAGTGTGCGCAGTGCATGAGTGTGCGCAGTGCATGAGTGTGCACAGTGCATGAGTGTGCGCAGTGCATGAGTGTGCGCAGTGCATGAGTGTGCGCAGTGCATGAGTGTGCGCAGTGCATGAGTGTGTGCAGGAGAGAGTGAGATGCATGCGAGGGGAGAGACAGCAGGGAGGAGAGGGGCGAGGGGTCGAGGCTTAGCACGGTGGGAGCGTCTAACCGCTGCTGCTCCGTGCGTGCAGGTGAAGACGTGGCACATGGCATGGACCAATCAGCAGCGGCCATTCCGGACTCCATCCCGCGCAAGCCGCCCAAATACTCGCCCAAGCGCGGCTCAGCCTCCTTCGCCATCCTCCTCACCCTGCTGCTGTGAGGCCCCCATCCTCGCCTGCCCCCATCCTCGCCTGCCCCCATCCTCGCCTGCCCCCATCCTCGCCTGCCCCCATCCTCGCCTGCCCCCATCCTCGCCTGCCCCCATCCTCGCCTGCCCCCATCCTCGCCTGCCCCCTTCCCCACCTTCCGCTCACACCACCTGCCAGTGTGAGCCCTTTTGAGAATTCTCAAAGCTCAGTGCATTCTGCCTCACTGTCACTTGCACCCCATGCCATGCTATGCCATGCCATGCCATGCCATGCCATGCCGTGCCATGCCATGCCATGCCTTGCCATGCCATGCCATGCCATGCCTCGACTCATGCATTTCACTCACATGCTGCACCTTGCCTCACTAGTCCACCTGGTTGTCGCCATGCAATGGCGTGGCATGGCATGGCATGGCATGGCATGGCGTGGCATGGCATGGCATGGCATGGCATGGCATGGCGTGGCGTGGCGTGGCGTGGCGTGGCGTGGCGTGGCGTGGCGTGGCGTGGCGTGGCGTGGCGTGGCCTGGCCTGGCCTGGCGTGGCGTGGCGTGGCGTGGCGTGGCGTGGCGTGGCGTGGCGGGGCGGGGCGGGGCGGGGCGTGGCGTGGCGTGGCGTGGCGTGGCGGGGCGGGGCGTGGCGTGGCGTGGCGTGGCGTGGCGTGGCGTGGCGTGGCGTGGCGTGGCGTGGCGTGGCGTGGCGTGGCGTGGCGTGGCGTGGCGTGGCGTGGCGTGGCGTGGCGTGGCGTGGCGTGGCGTGGCATGGCATGGCATGGCATGGCAGGGAGAAGGCGAGGGGGCGGCAGGCAGTGCCGGTGGCGGAGCTCATGGCCGCCTCCAGGGATGCCAACCTGCTCGCCTCCGTCATCAGGTATCCTGTGCTGCTCTGCTCTGTCTCCCTCGCATTTCCACCAAGGTACAATCCACTGATTCCCACATCGCTGCTCCACCGTTCTGCACCATGCGACCTCCACTGGCGTCTGTGCTCTGCTCGCCCCCAACACGTGTTCTGTCTCCCTGGGCGGCAGGTTCCAGGTGCCTGCGGACGAGCGCAGCATGGGGGGGGCGCCACTGCAGCAGTTTGCATGTGGGTGGAGCAGCATGGAGACCCTCGCCAAGCACAACCTCGTCGTCAAAACCGCCCACCCGCCCAGGTGCCACTGCCGCCCAGGTGCCGCCCAGCTGCCGCCCAGCTGCCACTGCAGCCCAGGTGCCGCCCAGGTGCTCTTAGTGCTGCACGCATTGCAGCTGTGTGTGCTGCACGCATTGCAGCTGTGTGTGCTGCACGCATTGCACCCGTGTGTGCTGCACGCATTGCAGCTGTGTGTGCTGCACGCATTGTAGGCGCTTAAGAGGGTCGGGGTCACCCCGCCCGTTACCCGTGCGGCGCCGAACACCCCATCCACTCCTCCCCATCCCTGCCCCTCCCTCCCACCCGTTCCCCACCCCACCCTTTCCACTCTGCCCTGCTTGTCTGCCGTGCGCCCGGGGGCGGGGCGAGGGCAGCTACGCGTTGTCGGAGGAGGGCCACGGCGTGGCGGTGGACTGCCTGCGCCGCGCCAAGATGCCGCTGCCCCCCGCCGCTGCCGCTCTGCTGCCAGGTGCTGCCTGCTCGCCTCACCTGCCCCTCCACCTCACCTGCCCCTCCACCTCACCTGCGCCTCCACCTCACCTGCCCCTCCACCTCACCTGCGCCTCCACCTCACCTGCCACTCCACCTCACCTGCCCCTCCACCTCACCTGCGCCTCCACCTCACCTGCCCCTCCACCTCACCTGCGCCTCCACCTCACCTGCCACTCCACCTCACCTGCCCCTCCACCTCACCTGCCACTCCACTCCACCTCACCTGCCACTCCCCTACTCACGTGCTCATGCGCCCCTGCCAGGGCAATGCGCCCCGGGAATGGGTGTCTGTGGTCGATGGCACTCTTAACGCTCCACCTACTTGCTCTCACCTCTCCATTGCACACTGTGCTCTCTCCCCTTTCTCGCTTGTCTGCCCTCTCCCCTCACTCCCTTTTATACCCTCTCTCCTGTCCGCTTCCTCTCCCTCTCACCTCCCCATTGACCTACTACCCGGTGACCTTGCTGCCATGCTGCCATGGCACGCACAGCAACAGCGGCGGACAGCGGAGGTGCAGCGGTGGGCAGACAGGTGCGCCCCAACCTACCCACGCCCTTCATGCCTCCTTGCTCACGTCATAGACTATCGTTGGTCGTGACGGCATACGTGCTGCAACTCTCTACCCTACACTCTCATGCCCTCGCACCCTACACGCTCATGCCCTCGCACCCTACACTCTCATGCCCTTGCACCCTACACTCTCAAGCCCTTGCACCCTACACTCTCATGCCCTTGCACCCTACACTCTCAAGCCCTTGCACCCTACACTCTCAAGCCCTTGCACCGTTCTTTCAATCCTCTGGTTGGATTGTTCTGCCACCACCCAACTTCAACCACCAAATGTCTTTCCAACCGCACTCCCTCCCCCGCCTTTTTAAGAAGCATCCCACTGAAAGACCTCTGCGTGAGACAGCTCCACACCACCTCACATGCGCTGTCCTTCCTGCTCCGTGTCCAGCGTGCAGCTATCATTCACTCACGTTGCCCACTCTGCACCGACATTCTCTCGCTATTCTTGCCACGTGTGTCGCTCCCCTCTCGCTCCCCCAAGTGCGCAACAATGCATTATGCACCTCTCCCTCCAACCCTACCCATGCCCCTCCTTTATGCCCCCTGACCCCGCCCTGCACCCCTCTGCACCCCCCTGCATCCCCCTGCACCCCACCTGGCAGCCACTGCAGTGGTCCGCGCAGGTCCTCAACGACCCCTCCGCCATGCTCGACCTCCCAGGTGACCTCCCAGGTGACCTCCCAGGTGACCTCCCAGGTGACCTCCCAGGTGACCTCCCAGGTGACCTCCCAGGTGACCTCCCAGGTGGCCTCCCAGGTGGCCTCCCAGGTGGCCTCCCAGGCTAAGTTGTGGAAGACGCCAGCAGCGTCCTGCGTCCTGCGTCCAGACGCAGCATCTGGACGCAGGACGCACCCGAAGACGCTAGACCCATGGGACAAAGTTTTCCGGGCAGCCCGGGAAAAAAAATGCGCGCCCTGGCGCGAACTTGAATTTCGCGATTTTTATGCGAACTCAATTTTGCGAGATTTTACCCCCCTCCCACCCATTTCGACCACCAAAAACAGCTTCCCCAACCAAATTTTGTTAACCCCCAACCTAAATTTCAACCCCAAAGCTCTTCGTGGACCACCACCAAAGGCATATAGGAGCACAAGCACCTCATCTGTGCTCCTCATATGTAGTTCACCTCAATTCTCCTTCAAAAACCGTCGACCATTTTTGCCAAAATGTGTGCAATGTCCTTCCCCCCCCCTCCGCATGCCCCATAGAACGTTCTTTTGACTGCCCGTACTTTTTTCCCTGCCCGGGCTTGCGTCTATCCCAGCGTCTAATCTGCCCAAGACGCGCGTCTAGCGTCTTAGACGCTGCGTCTAGACGCCAGCGTCTAAGACACTAGACGCGTCTTCCACAACTTGACTCCCAGGTGACCTCTCAGGTGACCTCCCAGGTGACCTCCCAGGTGACCCCCCAGGTGACCCCCAGGTGACTTCGTACTGTGCCACCACACCGTGCCACTCCACCTTTCCTCCATCCCCTCTCGCTGTTCCTCTGCTCCTGCCCTCTCCCCCCCGGCAGGCAGCAGTGGCGTGGAGGGCGAGGAGGAGTGGCAGGTGCCCCCCCTGGCAGCGGGCGAGCGCTTCTCAGACGCGTATGACGTCATCATCTTCATTGACAACCGCGACAGCGAGTGAGGCGTGCCCTGCCCTGCCCTGCCCTGCATGCATGCTGTGCTGCATGGCACATGGATGCATGGGTCGCACATGGAAGGATGGGTCACACATGGATGCATGGGTCGCACATGGAAGGATGGGTCGCACATGGAAGGATGGGTCGCACATGGAAGGATGGGTCGCACATGGAAGGATGGGTCGCACATGTAAGGATGGGTCGCACATGGAAGGATGGGTCCCACATGGAAGGATGGGTCGCACATGTAAGGATGGGTCGCACATGGAAGGATGGGTCGCACATGGAAGGATGGGTCGCACATGGAAGGATGGGTCGCACATGGAAGGATGGGTCGCACATGGAAGGATGGTTCGCACATGGAAGGATGGGTCGCACATGGAAGGATGGGTCGCACATGGAAGGATGGGTCGCACATGGAAGGATGGGTTGCACATGGAAGGATGGGTCGCACATGGAAGGATGGGTCGCACATGTAAGGATGGGTCGCACATGGAAGGATGGGTCCCACATGGAAGGATGGGTCGCACATGTAAGGATGGGTCGCACATGGAAGGATGGGTCGCACATGGAAGGATGGGTCGCACATGGAAGGATGGGTCGCACATGGAAGGATGGGTTGCACATGGAAGGATGGGTCGCACATGGAAGGATGGGTCGCACATGGAAGGATGGGTCGCACATGGAAGGATGGGTCGCACATGGAAGGATGGGTCGCACATGGAAGGATGGGTTGCACATGGAAGGATGGGTCGCACATGGAAGGATGGGTCGCACATGGAAGGATGGGTCGCACATGGAAGGATGGATCGCACATGGAAGGATGGGTCGCACATGGAAGGATGGGTCGCACATGGAAGGATGGGTCGCACATGGAAGGATGGGTCGCACATGGAAGGATGGGTCGCACATGGAAGGATGGGTCGCACATGGAAGGATGGGTCGCACATGGAAGGACGGGTCGCACATGGAAGGATGTATGTGTGGGTGCTGGGCCCCATGTGCTGCTCACTCGTGCATGCTGCATGCGTGACAACCAATCGTGCGTGCACTGGCTACCTACATACATGAGCACCACGCGTGCCATGCGTCACCTCCCCCCCCCAGGTGCCACGGGCCAGTGTTTGCCAACCAGCTGTCCGCTCAGTTTGGCCTCGCCACTGAGGTGAGGCAGTGAGGTGAGGCAGTGAGGTGAGGTCAGTGAGGTGAGGCAGTGAGGTGAGGCACGCTTGCGCATCCTGTGTGTCCCGCTGCCTCTTGCAATCCCTCTGTACCACACTCATCTCCTCCCACCATTCTGACCTTCCTATACCCTTTCACTGTTCTGCACTCCCTATTCCACCATGTTGCACCACGCCCATCAGTTGCACCACGTGCATCAGTTGCACCTCGTGTCTCAGTTGCACCTCGTGTCTCAGTTGCACTTCGTGTCTCAGTTGCACCTCGTGTCTCAGCTGCACTGCCGTCACGCATCAGGAACTGACGTGCATGTTGCCGTGCCACCTGTCAGAACTGAGCTTGAATAAATTGATAAAGAAAGAAGGCATTACGCTTTAAGTACAACCAAAGTTGGGTTGGCCAAAGCTAGGGAAAGGATGGGATGGGAATCGAAGCAAATCTTCAATGATGAGTTGGCAGATTTGTTGGGAATCCCAACCAGGTAAAGTTGGGATAGCAGTCTACACCCAACCCACAAATAACCTACACGATATAAAACGGAGTACACAATTGTGTTGACAGTGTATTTCTAGCACCACCTCCCTGCCACCCCCCTCGCACATCCGTCAACCCCCTTTGTCCCCCCAGGTGCACGCGCTGCCAGCGGGCGACGCCATGTGGGTGGCGCGGCACAGGGCGAGCGGGCGGGACTACGTGTTGGACTTCATAGTGGAGTTCACTCGCGCGCACGACCTCTGGATGGCCATCAAGTCCTCCCGCTTCCGCGACCAGCGCCTGCGCCTCCAGGTCAGCCCTGCGCCTCCAGGTTAGAACTGGTAAGAGCTTCAGCTGGTAGCATTGACCGGGTAATAAAGCACAATTGGTGTGCCAAAAAAATCAAGTCGTAACGTTTCATTTCGATGAGGTTGGACTTGTGTGACATCTTAGCCAGGACATGACGGCATGAGCGTACAATCATATATATCCATCTCTCACACTTGTCACGTGTTGCATTACTCTGCTCTGCCCTGTACTGTCTCCCTGCGTGTGCTGCGTGTGTGCACATCAGCGGTGCGGCGTGCGGCGTCTGTTGTGTCTGGTGGACGGCTCACTGGACGACCTCATTGCCTCCGACCCCAACCGAGCAGCGTCTGTCACACGCCCCGCCCCGCCCGCTCCCTCTGCCCCTCTCCTCCACCCCATCATCTCTCAAAGGCCGCTTTCTCCACACTCCCATTTGCCGTCCCCTTTTCTCCTCGTTCACCCTCCCTTTGTCACTTCGCCCATCCATCATTGTCACTCCCTTGTCTCGCCTTCACTCGCCAAAGTGACACTCTGTCTTCCTCTTACCTCTCTGCCTCTTATCATTCTCTGCCTTCCATCACTCTCAGCTGTGCTTCCATTCTCCCATCTCTCCCTCTCCCATCTCACCCTCGCCCATCTCACCCTCTCCCATCGCACCCTCTCCCATCGCACCACTCGCCCATCGCACCACTCGCCCTCATGCACCTCCCTCCCCCCCGGCAGCATGATCTCGGCGGAGATGGAGGAGGGGGTGGACATACAGCAGACGGCATCGCTGCACGACACCAAGCACCGCTACCTCGACATCACCACCGCGCTCACCCGCCGCTACAACGACGCCGCCATAGCGCTGCACCTCCACCTGCAGCAGCAGGCGCAGGCGGGCGGTGTGCCCCCGTCGCCCCCTCCACCCTGCCCACTGTACGGCGAGTTCGTGGCGACGTGCCGCTCCGTGCAGTCTGACTCCGTCTGCAACCTCTTCGGCCACCTGCTGCTGCAGGTGCGCTGTGGGGGCCATGGGGTGCTGCTGCTGCAGGTGCTGTGCTGGGGGCATGGGGTGCGGCTGCTGTAGGTCATGCTCATGGGGGCATGGGTGCTGCTGCTGCAGGTCATGCTCATGGGGGCATGGGTGCTGCTGCTGCACGTGCGGTTGGGTGGGGAGCATGATGCATGTGACTGCCAGTGGTGTGGAGTTGGAGGTGGGAAGTGAGCGCATACTGGCTGGATTTCCAACTCCATTACAACCAAATGACAACCAACTCCATTACAGCCAACTTCATTACAACCAACTCCATTACAACCAACTTCATTACAACCAACTCCATTACGACCAACTCCATTACGACCATCTCCGTTGCGACCATCTCCGTTGCAACCAACTCCATTGCAACCAACTCCATTGCAACCAACTCCATTGCAACCAACTCCATTGCAACCAACTCCTCTCCTCCCCTCACCTCCCCACCTCCACACCTGCACCCCTACCGCCCCCTGCACCGCGCTACCTGTGTGCCCACCAGGTGCGCTCGGTGTCAGTGGACACGGCCATCGCAGTGCTGCGCCGCTTCCCCTCACTCCGGGCACTCGTCAACGCCTACCAGCTCATGGTGTGTGCCTGTCCATCACTCCCTCTCAATAGACACCTTCTGTAATTCTAACGCCTATGTTTTCCTCTCTCTGTCACGTGTCGTGCAACCTGTGTTCTCTCACTCAATGAACATCCATCCTTCACATTCCCTCACATCACAACCCTGTGGGCATGGCAGGAGGGCAACCCAGAGGGGCAGGCAATGCTGCTGACGCGCATAACAGTGAAGGGGCGGCGCATAAGCGAGGCCATCAGCCGCAAGGTGTACGAGATCGTCTGGACCTAGCAACACCCCGCCCTGCCCTGCCTCCGCCTGGCCTCGCCTCGCGGGAGCCTTGCTCGCACTTGTTCTGAGCTAATATCAGCTTGTAACATAGATTTATTGCTTATATACGGTCATGAGTTGTTTACACTTGAGTGTTCATGCCTAGCCAGAAGGTGGTGGTGGTGCGAGCCTCACTGCACTGCACCAACTAGACTTGCCCTGTGCACTTAAAAACGTGGCAGTGTGCCACCCATGCCCTCAGTGCAGTGCAGCGCCCTCATGCGTCCACAGTACGGCGCCCCTCACACGTGGCGCACACTCGAGCACCGTTGCACGCCACACAGTACCGCCACTTGTTGGCCAGCCTGCCAGCGCCACACCCACCCACCCATGACATGGCACGCGCAGTGGGAGCGCAAAAGAAAGAGGAGTGACCCGTTAGTGTGGTGCAGGTGGTGTGAGTGTGGTCAGTGTGGTCAGTGTGGTCAGTGTGGTCAGTGTGGTCTGTGTGGTCTGTGTGGTCTGTGTGGTCTGTGTGGTCTGTGTGGAAAGTGTGTGCAGAGCAAGTGTGGTGTGAGCGGCAGGGGCAAGGAGAGGGAAGTGGATGGAGGGGAGCAGGATGACAGTGCTTACATGAGCACACACACCTCAAGGGGGTGGACAGTCCCACCCCCATCCACCACTGCCCCACCTCCATCCACCACTGCCCCACCCCCATCCACCACTGCCCCACCCCCATCCACCACTGCCCCACCCCCATCCACCACTGCCCCACCCCCATCCACCACTGTCCCACCCCCATCCACCACTTCCTGACTCCTCTCCCGCCCCCCTGCTCCCTTGACTGCTCCGTCACCCCTTCCATATACTCCCTTCCCTCTCTCCTTTCTCTCCCCCATCTCCTCCTCTCCTTCCCGTCCCCCCCTCGTCCTCTCCCCCCCGCCTCACCTGGCGGAGGAGCGTTGGGCGGAGGGGGGGTTGGAGGCGAGTCCACGGGAGGGCGGCCCCGCGCTGGCAGCTTTGGGCACAAAGCCCTCGCCCGCGCATGAGCTGCAGATGCCGCTGCCCCTGCACGCCGCACATGGCACCTGGTGGGGCCGTGGGTATGGTGCATGACGCAGCGCAAGTGGGAGGTTCAATGGGCACAGCAGGGGATCGGGGATTGGCGAGAGGGGAAGACATGATGGCGCAGGCGACCCACTCTCACTCCTGGGACTCGCCTCTCCACAGCGTAGTTGGCACTACACATGTACATGCGTATACCTAGTAAACTTACGTTCATGGCTACACGGGAAGCGCCTACCGCATTAGTGGAGAAGCACGATTCACGCATGCACCGCCATCTTACTGCCTCATCACGGTCGGATCGCTTCTCATTCGCATATCCTTTCTTTATTACCCCGCCATGCAACTTCACATATATTTACCAGCAAGGAAAGGTAAACTGACGTGTACATTAACGTTTGTGTGACCCACAAAGACGTAAAGTGCTTGAAATCCAGGCACATGGCTGCACACTCCTGCTCTCACCACCACCACCACCACCACCACCACCACCACCACCACCACCACCACCACCACCACCATCCTTTCCACCTTAGCCCACCTCACCTCATCTCGCCTCACCTTGACCTTAGCAGCAGCGCCCTCGCCCTCCCCTGCTCTCTCCGACTCCCCTCCTCGCTGCAGCCCCACCAGCACTGCTGCCGCCCCCACCACCGCCACGGCGCCGCCCACAGCGGCTGCCATGCCGCCCAGGTCGCCCTCCGCTGCCGCCCGCGCACTGCGCCGCTGCCTGGCGCGCGTGGCTGTGAGGGGAGCCGCCGCGGGCAGGGCTGCTGGCCGCCATGCGCCTCGCAGGGGGGAGGCGCGCGAGTGTAGGCGCGGCGGGGGGAGTAGGTGCGTGGCGGCGCAGCAGCAACGCGCGCAGGGGGAGGCGGACGCACGTGGCGCTGTGGGGAGGGGAGGGGAGGGGAGGGCAGGGAAGGGATGGCTGGGTGGTTGCGGGGATGGGGAAAGACGCAAGGAGGAAGATTGAACCAAGGTTGCACGACAGGAAGGAGGCACACGCGGGGAGATGGCAGTGCGCGGGGAGATGGCAGTGCGCGGGGAGATGGCAGTGCGCGGGGAGATGGCAGTGCGCGGGGAGATGGCAGTGCGCGGGGAGATGGCAGTGCGCGGGGAGATGGCAGTGCGCGGGGAGATGGCAGTGCGCGGGGAGATGGCAGTGCGCGGGGAGATGGCAGTGCGCGGGGAGATGGCAGTGCGCGGGGAGATGGCAGTGCGCGGGGAGATGGCAGTGCGCGGGGAGATGGCAGTGCGCGGGGAGATGGCAGTGCGCGGGGAGATGGCAGTGTGCGGGTGGCGGCTGAGGGCAGCCAGTGGGTGGCACTGAGGGCGGGCGCGGAAGGAGTGGGAGGAATGGGAAGAGCGGGAGGGGCGGAGGAGTGGGAGGGGCGGGATGGGCGGAGGGGGTGGATGGTGGGCGCAGTGGGAGAGCGGATGGTTTGGTGAGCGCAGTGGGTCAGCACAGGCGCGATGTGCGGCGGTGAGGGCGCGGCACTGACGCAATGTGTGGGCAGACGACAACGAGAGCGGCGGCGAAACGACGAGCGCGAGCGATGGCGCCATAACGGGATGCACGGCGACAGTTGCGAAATCGAGTGTGCTGGCGCGGGAAGGCTGCTGAGAAGCTTGGAGTGTGGTAAAGCTGCCAACTGCCTCACATTGGCTCACAGAATTGCCCTTTGAAAGTAAAGCTCGCGCGGCCCAAGCCGTGAGGCGCGCGGGTCAAGTTTGGAACAAGTGGAGTTTGCAAGCTTGAATTGAAAGAACTGCACTTCAAATTTGAGACCAACGAGCACACGAAGGGAAAAGACTAGGGTTGGCGGAGTGTAGCGAAGAAAACGAATTTGACGAAGTAGACACTCTCGTCGCAACCCTCAAGGTGTATCGAATGTTACCTTATTGAACCATTGTGAACCGTCCCTCAGCTGCGACGGGTTATACGCTCGATTGGATTATGGTGGCACTAATCACACTGCGCATCAGGATCGTGTAGTAAAAACCTCACAACGAAGCACCTGTCATCGCCATCGCGCGCGCAATGCACGCCGCCGCGTGGAAGCCGCTCTCATCCCTCGCCGTTCCACCGTCCGTCGCTGCGCGCCACGCATCCACGCCTGCCCGTAACTCCTTCCCTAAGCCCCCCGCCGAGCCCGCGTGCGAGCACCCTCGCGTCCATGCGTGCACACGCGCGCCGCCATCCGCTTCGCGCCGTTCCTCGCTCTTCTCCGCCGGCTCCCGCTCGCGCTTCCACCTCTCATCCCCCGTCGTTCCTCCTCCCGCCGAGACTCTTAGCCGCCGCCACCAGCCATGCCCGGCCGCGCGGGCCTCTTCCGCCGCGCAAGCGGGCGATCAGGGCGGCGCAGCGCCGCTGCCGGAGAGGGCTGCCGCCAAAGGTCCAACCGAGCCTGATTCGTTAGGTTCGGAGCCATCTGGTTCCGGCAGGAAGAGCCGTTGGTGGCAGTGGCGGGCGTGGCGCGGGCGCGAGTCGCTGGGCGAGCGCGTGATGAGCGGCATCGTCAACAGCAGCTCCGCACCCATCGGCTCGGTCATTGCAGAGCCTGTCACCGTTCTGCACCGATTAGACCCGCGGGTTAAGCAGGTGAGAACAGATGTTGACGAGTGGGAGTGAGCGAGTTGGGGTTGAGGATTAAAGGGTGGGAAGGGCGGAAGGAACAAGGGGGAAAGGGCGGAGGGAAAAATGGGTGGGAGGGAGGGAGGGAGACAGGGGGGGAGAGAGCCCGTGAGGCGACGGCGTGTGATGCTGTCCCCCCACCATGCATGCACACCGCCCTCTGCCTCCCGCACCCCCTTGCTCCGCACCCATCCTTGTACCTCCTTCACCCTCACTTGTCACAATCACACCCCACTCCCCTGCCACGCCCCCCTATGCCCCTCGCCTCCCCCCCCCAGCTGTGGCTGCTGCTGCTGGTGCTGCTGCTGCTCAGCACGGTCCGGTCTCGACCTGCGCCTGGCGCTCTGTGCGTTGCTCGTCGCCCTCACGCTGCTCGCCCTGCCCGCCTCCATTGCCCGGGTCAGTGCGCACCCGCCACAACCCACCCCACCATGCACGCCTGCCTCTGCTGCTCCACCCACTTTTCTCCACGCACGTCACAACTGCACCTTCTCTCCTTGCTTCTTCACCCGAATTCTCCTCTGCATGCCATCGCTCCGTGTCTTCACTGCTTCCTTCCCCCAACCCCCTGTGCAAACGGCAGGCGCAGCTGGGGCGCTCGCTGCTCTTCACAGCCTTCATCTTCCTGGGCCTCGCCTTCAGCACCGACGGCGTGCCTGCCTTCGTGCAGCCGCGCCCGCTGCCCCTCGCCCTCGAGCCCCTCGCCCTCGCCTCCTCCTCCTCCTCCTCCGCTGCTGCCGCCTCCACATCGCCAGCGCTGGGTGCAGCGGCGTCAGTGGCGCCACTGCTGCCCTCCACCTACCGCTACGTGCTGCTGCACGTCGGCCCGCTGCTGCTCACACGCCGTGCCGCCAAGCTCGCTGCCATGGCCGCCTCGCTCTCCTTCATTGTGCGCCCCGCCCCCCTCCCCCTCCCCCTCCACCTCCCATCACCTCATCTTTGTACCCTGCTGCTCGTTTTTAGCTCTGCTTATCCTCCGCCACTCGCTCTCGTGCCATGCAAGCTAGAATCCGCACAACCTTTACTTGATTGCCCCTATGGTCGTTGCTGCTGAAGCCTCGCTGCTCCACTCCTTCCCACAGCCCCACGCGCACACCACCTCCATCCCTCACTCCGCCCGACCCCCTGGCCTCTCCCCACCCCCCCCCAGGTGCTGCACGCGGCGGCGGTGAGTCTGATCACAACGAGCCCTGAGGCCATGGCGGGGGCGCTGCGGTGGGGCATGGCGCCACTCAAGGCGGTGGGCGTGGGCGTGGAGGCGGCCATCCTGACGCTGCTGCTGTCGCTGCGCTTCCTGGGCCTCGTGTTTGACGAGCTGCGCGCGCTGGCACTCGGCACCGTGGCTCGCGGCATCCACTGGACCAAGCTGCAACCGCTCGCCACACTCGACTGTCAGTGCTGCCCCGCTCTCTTGCCTGTGCTGCCGGTGGAAGAGCATGTGTGTGGGTGGGTGTTGACTGTGCAACGTGCATTGTGACGCCGTCTCCGCCGCCCATCTCACCCCACGCCCTCTCCCTCTACTTTTCCCATCCCATTGCCTCCTTGCACTCCTTGCTCTCATTCGCAGTCCTTGCTCTCATTTGCACTCCTTGCTCTCATTCGCACTCCTTGCTCTCATTCGCAGTCCTTGCTCTCATTCGCAGTCCTTGCTCTCATTCGCAGTCCTTGCTCTCATTTGCACTCCTTGCTCTCATTCGCAGTCCTTGCTCTCATTTGCACTCCTTGCTCTCATTCGCAGTCCTTGCTCTCATTTGCACTCCTTGCTCTCATTCGCACTCCTTGCTCTCATTCGCAGTCCTTGCTCTCATTTGCACTCCTTGCTCTCATTCGCAGTCCTTGCTCTCATTTGCACTCCTTGCTCTCATTCGCAGTCCTTGCTCTCATTTGCACTCCTTGCTCTCATTTGCACTCCTTGCTCTCATTCGCAGTCCTTGCTCTCATTTGCACTCCTTGCTCTCATTTGCACTCCTTGCTCTCATTCGCACTCCTTGCTCTCATTTGCACTCCTTGCTCTCATTCGCAGTCCTTGCTCTCATTTGCACTCCTTGCTCTCATTCGCACTCCTTGCTCTCATTCGCAGTCCTTGCTCTCATTTGCACTCCTTGCTCTCATTCGCAGTCCTTGCTCTCATTTGCACTCCTTGCTCTCATTCGCAGTCCTTGCTCTCATTTGCACTCCTTGCTCTCATTCGCAGTCCTTGCTCTCATTTGCACTCCTTGCTCTCATTCGCACTCCTTGCTCTCATTTGCACACCTTGCTCTCATTCGCAGTCCTTGCTCTCATTTGCACTCCTTGCTCTCATTTGCACTCCTTGCTCTCATTCGCAGTCCTTGCTCTCATTTGCACTCCTTGCTCTCATTCGCAGTCCTTGCTCTCATTCGCAGTCCTTGCTCTCATTTGCACTCCTTGCTCTCATTTGCACTCCTTGCTCTCATTCGCAGTCCTTGCTCTCATTTGCACTCCTTGCTCTCATTTGCACTCCTTGCTCTCATTCGCACTCCTTGCTCTCATTTGCACTCCTTGCTCTCATTCGCAGTCCTTGCTCTCATTTGCACTCCTTGCTCTCATTCGCAGTCCTTGCTCTCATTTGCACTCCTTGCTCTCATTCGCAGTCCTTGCTCTCATTTGCACTCCTTGCTCTCATTCGCAGTCCTTGCTCTCATTTGCACTCCTTGCTCTCATTCGCAGTCCTTGCTCTCATTTGCACTCCTTGCTCTCATTCGCAGTCCTTGCTCTCATTTGCACTCCTTGCTCTCATTCGCAGTCCTTGCTCTCATTTGCACTCCTTGCTCTCATTCGCAGTCCTTGCTCTCATTTGCACTCCTTGCTCTCATTCGCAGTCCTTGCTCTCATTTGCACTCCTTGCTCTCATTCGCAGTCCTTGCTCTCATTTGCACTCCTTGCTCTCATTCGCAGTCCTTGCTCTCATTTGCACTCCTTGCTCTCATTCGCAGTCCTTGCTCTCATTTGCACTCCTTGCTCTCATTCGCAGTCCTTGCTCTCATTTGCACTCCTTGCTCTCATTCGCAGTCCTTGCTCTCATTTGCACTCCTTGCTCTCATTCGCAGTCCTTGCTCTCATTTGCACTCCTTGCTCTCATTCGCACTCCTTGCTCTCATTCGCAGTCCTTGCTCTCATTCGCACTGCTTGCTCTCATTCGCACTCCTTGCTCTCATTTGCACTCCTTGCTCTCATTTGCACTCCTTGCTCTCATTCGCACTCCTTGCTCTCATTTGCACTCCTTGCTCTCATTTGCACTCCTTGCTCTCATTCGCACTCCTTGCTCTCATTCGCAGTCCTTGCTCTCATTTGCACTCCTTGCTCTCATTCGCACTCCTTGCTCTCATTCGCAGTCCTTGCTCTCATTTGCACTCCTTGCTCTCATTCGCAGTCCTTGCTCTCATTTGCACTCCTTGCTCTCATTCGCAGTCCTTGCTCTCATTTGCACTCCTTGCTCTCATTCGCAGTCCTTGCTCTCATTTGCACTCCTTGCTCTCATTCGCACTCCTTGCTCTCATTTGCACTCCTTGCTCTCATTCGCAGTCCTTGCTCTCATTTGCACTCCTTGCTCTCATTTGCACTCCTTGCTCTCATTCGCAGTCCTTGCTCTCATTTGCACTCCTTGCTCTCATTCGCAGTCCTTGCTCTCATTTGCACTCCTTGCTCTCATTCGCACTCCTTGCTCTCATTTGCACTCCTTGCTCTCATTCGCACTCCTTGCTCTCATTCGCAGTCCTTGCTCTCATTTGCACTCCTTGCTCTCATTCGCACTCCTTGCTCTCATTTGCACTCCTTGCTCTCATTTGCACTCCTTGCTCTCATTCGCACTCCTTGCTCTCATTTGCACTCCTTGCTCTCATTTGCACTCCTTGCTCTCATTCGCACTCCTTGCTCTCATTCGCAGTCCTTGCTCTCATTTGCACTCCTTGCTTTCATTCGCACTCCTTGCTCTCATTCGCAGTCCTTGCTCTCATTTGCACTCCTTGCTCTCATTCGCAGTCCTTGCTCTCATTTGCACTCCTTGCTCTCATTCGCAGTCCTTGCTCTCATTTGCACTCCTTGCTCTCATTCGCAGTCCTTGCTCTCATTTGCACTCCTTGCTCTCATTCGCACTCCTTGCTCTCATTCGCAGTCCTTGCTCTCATTTGCACTCCTTGCTCTCATTCGCAGTCCTTGCTCTCATTTGCACTCCTTGCTCTCATTCGCAGTCCTTGCTCTCATTTGCACTCCTTGCTCTCATTCGCACTCCTTGCTCTCATTTGCACTCCTTGCTCTCATTCGCAGTCCTTGCTCTCATTTGCACTCCTTGCTCTCATTTGCACTCCTTGCTCTCATTTGCACTCCTTGCTATTTCTCTGCGCCATTGCGCCTCTCCCTTCTCCCCCGTGCCCCATTCTCTCCCGTTGCTCTCTAAGTACTATCCACATGCTCCTTCTAAACCGTCTCCACCCACTCCCCATCTGATCCCAACCCAACCCCATCTGATCCCAACCCCATCTGATCCCAACCCCATCTGATCCCAACCCCATCTGATCCCAACCCCATCTGAACAAAACCCCATGTGATCCCAACCCAACCCCATGTGCATCACCACCACCGCCCAAGGCAGTGGTGCTGTCGCTAGCGGGGCGCCTCTTCCAGAACCTCTTCACCCACGCCGACCAGATCTCACAGGTGCTGCTCCCTCCCTCGCCTACATACTCCCTCGCTCTCTCTCTCTCTCATCCATGCTCTCCTGCACCTTAGCATTTGATTCTCCGCACAGCAAGTTAACTGTGGCGTTGTCAGTAGCAGCAGCAACCAGAGTGCATAATGGGTTAGTGCTCGTGCATGCCACAGCAAGGGCCACACTGCTGCACGGGCCACACTTCCGATTGTGCCTTCCACCTCTGCCTTTACTGCTTGCCCCTCTGCCAGCTTGTTACGTATCAAGTCCTTGCTCCCTCATCCTCTCTTTTCTCCCTCCCCGCTCTCCACCACTCCCTCGCCCACCGAATCCATCCTTGCCCCGCCAGGCCATGATAGCGCGCGGGTATTCAGGCGACCCCAGCACGCACCGCCTCTACTTCCTTGGCCACTTTGCTCTGCATGCACGTGACTGGGCCGCCCTGCTGCTGCTCGCCGCCATCGTTGCTGCTGCTGCCTCCACTGGCCTGCTGCTGCCCTCCTGACACGGCATGCCATAAACTTATGATTGGCCACTCACTGAATTGTGGCAAGCAGGATGAACAGGAAGAAGCAGGCGTGTTTATATGATAGTAATGAAACACAAGACGTCTATATTAGATACCGTAAGCTACCTGTATTGGATGACCTAATGGGCCACGGTACATGGGCGCTGTAGTCAAGTACCGTACTGTACCTACCGATCTTCTACTCTAACATGCATTGATATATTGTTAATCATTGATGAAAGACAGAATTGTAAGTTTTTTATAAGTGTTGTCACCAATGCTTTAAAAACGTAGGGTCTGCACAACATGTTGAGCTGATCTCTCAGAGACTGAAATTGAGAATTGTCTTGAGTCATACCCCGGATATAGGCGCAGGCATAAAATAGGCACATACGCTCCCATATGAAGCATTACACAATATACCCGCGCAGGGTAATGCATCCACAAGCCTGCCCACATGTGTTGCCAAAACACGCCATCCATGCATGCCGCCCAGACATATGATGCAGTGGCTGACAGGGTGGAAGTCGCCTGCGACAGGGTGATGGACGACATGCCGACCCTAGCGGTGGCTGCACACCTCATGGGCACAGCAGCATGGGAGGGATGAAGCATGGCGACGACAGCATTCATGGGGGGAGGGGGGGAAGGCAGTGGGGAGGTGGCAGTGGGGGAGGCGATGTTGATGGGGAAGGAAATGGGTGAGAGGATGTGAAAAGGCCATGAGGGTGCAGGCATTAGAGTAGGAACGATGTGATGATGCCTATTGAGAATTGTGCAATGGCGTGCTGAGATGGTGCAGAGGGTTTTGAGATGCCTCTGAGCATGGCATGAGAGCAGCAGCGATGTGACGATGCGCACGGAATGTGCCACGGTCGTGCTGACAATGTGCAAGGACGGTAGGAGAATGGTATGGTTTAAAGTTCCATTCAGTCACATCACACGAGTTGAGGTTGAAACCTGAGGATGGCAGAAAAGCCCAAGCAAGCCCCAGCAGACACCACACTTGTTTGAGCCACGAGAGAAAAGTTCACGACTTTGAAAGTCCGCCTGGGGTTCTTTTGTGACGTCCCTAAACGAACTCTTGTTACCCATCGCTGGTAGTCGCGGACTTGTGAGTGGGTGAAAGGTGTGCTGGCGGGTGGCCATGGAGGAGGCAAAGTGAGTTGGGCTTCCTGGGCTCAGGCCCCACCTGATGCATGCATCATGCACCATGCACTATGCATCATGCACCATGCACTATGCATCATGCACCATGCACTATGCATCATGCACCATGCACTATGCATCATGCACCATGCACTATGCATCATGCACCATGCACTATGCATCATGCACCATGCACTATGCATCATGCACCATGCACTATGCATCATGCACCATGCACTATGCATCATGCACCATGCACTATGCATCATGCACCATGCACTATGCATCATGCACCATGCACTATGCATCATGCACCATGCACTATGCATCATGCACCATGCACTATGCATCATGCACCATGCACTATGCATCATGCACCATGCACTATGCATCATGCACCATGCACTATGCATCATGCACCATGCACTATGCATCATGCACCATGCACTATGCATCATGCACCATGCACTATGCATCATGCACCATGCACTATGCATCATGCATGCATAGCGGATGAATGAGGGGGGGAGGGGGACATGGCAAGCAGTTTTGCAATGAGCCGAGGTACGTGACCACCTGGTTGAATTGTGAAATGCAGAATCATTGGAGAGAAATTTGTGTTCACAGGAAAGAAAGCGGGCCCATGTGGTGATGGGGATGAAGGTGACCCCCGGTGGGAAGCTGGATGGCCAGCGGGTGAGGGAGCAGTGGGAATATGGAGTGCAGCGAGGCAGAGAGCAAGAGCTTTCACGAGGTAGGCAGGTGTGCAATGTGCGGAGCTGAGCAACGAGCGCAGGCGGCCGCACAGTTGGAGCACAGAACGTAGTGCTGCAACTGGCCTTGAGTGTGCCCATGATGCTCTGCACTGTAACCTGAGAGTCTTTCTGAATCAAAGATGGTGTCATTTGTCTTGATCTGACATATCACCTTATGACCTGTATAAATATGTAATATTCTGAGTCACCTTATAATGTGCATTTTGGCGAATAACATGTTGGTTTTGATGTAGTGTTAGACAGTCAGTAAATGACCATGGCACACCATGTAATGCATCTCTCCATAGCCGTTCCCTGGGCACAGGAGAATAACCTGCAGCGCAAGCCAGCAGGTTAATTGAAAGATGTTGGAGGAGACTAGTTGATGAGAGAGAGAAGCAGCAATGACAGCTGAGGCCGCACCATCCAATGGAGCTAATTGCCCAACTTAATAAGAAAGTTCCAACACGCAAGCAAGACGGAAAGAATCACTCAAGTACGTACAAGTACATGAACGTGAGATCGCAAACGTCCTCTCTCATGGGGTGGGGCACGCCATGCAAGTACGACATAAATGAGTCACCCTTCTTAACTAAGAGCGCACTTGAGAGTGACACCCGCCTGACCTCTGCCAGCAACAAAAACAGCACCAATATTGCGGGAGGGACCCATCTGATTGCATCCTCCTGTTTTCCTGCCTCCCCCATCTCTTCGTGACCACACTCACCTCTCACCTGTACTCCATAAATCACCGCAGCACTCAAGTGCAGCGCACCATGCTCCTCCAACAACCCCACGTGCTGGGCGCCCAGCTCTTTCGGACACCCGCCTGTAACAACCACGGCACCACTGCCCTGCGCTCTCAACCTCCTCCACCATTGCCCGTCACAGCACTCAGATTCGCGCCGGGGGTGATGATTGATTTGTTCATTGCGGGCAGTCATGGTTGCACAGCTCATGGCTTGTTGAGCGGATGAGTGACGGTGGCGCTGACTCAAGGCTCTAGGTGCACGACGGACCATGTGGACTGAGCGATTGAGCAGCTTGCCTTGACATGCCACCAACTGTGCAAGCTCGTCTGCCTCTTGCTTTGGGCCAAGCGCTTCACCACCCGTGCATACAGCCTCATACTGCTCACGCGTGGCTGCATTTGATGTTCGCCCCTGCTGCCTGCTATGCCGTGTCATGCCATGCGTCATGTGCTGCCATGCCATGCCATGGGTCATGTGCTGCCATGCCATGGGTCATGTGCTGCCATGCCATGGGTCATGTGCTGCCATGCCATGGGTCATGTGCTGCCATGCCATGGGTCATGTGCTGCCATGCCATGGGACGTGTAACGCCATACCATGGGACGAACAACAAAAAGAAATGTTGCAAAACTTGAGTCAAGTTAAGGGATAAAATATTCAGGTCCCCAGCAGTGCAGTGCATTACCACTGTTTCGTTCCGCTGCTGGTTGCGGCCAAGCTGGTGCAGGCATAGGCGAGTCATTCGTGTGCTGGAGGGCAGCCCTGGCGGAGCACTGGGACTCGTTGGCGCTGACCCACTGGGTAATATACTCCCAGAGCCGCCACCAGCCTCTTCATCGCCAGCAGCAGCAGCAGCAGCAGCACCACCACCACCACCACTAGCACCAGCAGCAACAGCAGCATGTACAGCAGCATTGCTGGGAGCGTTAACAGCAGCATCCCAACCTCCGAGCACAATCAAATCATCATCACCCACCCCCTTTGCCCTCCTCCACCACCATCACACTTCTTTCCCCTACACCAACCACCCCCTTCCCTCCCACCTTTCCCTCCCTACCACCTCCCACCCCTCCTCCCTCACCCCCTTACCTTCCTCTTCTCACTTGCCCCACTCCCCGTTCCTTCTGCTCCTAGCCGCAACTATGCCCGCCACTCAGTGCTTGCGTCAGCTGCAGCGTGGGTGAGTGGAGTGGTGGCAGTGAGGAAGAAGGTGGAGTAGTGGAGGGGTGGCACCTTGCCTTGGAATACCACTCACACCCCCTTCCCTTGCTCCCGCTGCTGCCGATGCCACGCTGCTGCTCCTCTCTCCCCTCCCTTCCTCACTTCTCCTTTTCCTTATCCCTCCCTTCTCCCCCCTTGTCACCTCTCTGACCACCTCAACACCGATGCACCGTGCACGAGCTTCCCACGGAACCAGGAACTCGGAATGGTATGTGAGGGAGAAACATTGGCTTGGGCGTCACTTGCAATGACGCAAGGGGAATAGACCCGGGGGCATGCGGACCTGACGACTGAATCGTGTTATACAAGGTAACAAAATTGGTTTGGCAGGACCTAGGGAATGGACTGGCAAAGCAGAAACGCTGCATTGGTCAGCAGTCACAGCGATTGATTCGTAACAGGGAGGTGTGGTGGGAAGCGTAGCGGTGGAGAGGTGGGAGGCGGCAGCGAGTCGGGGGGTTGGATTGGACATAGTAAAAGAGAGGCGGAAGGGGGGAATGGGGGAAAGGAAGAGCGAGGTGTGGGGCCGGGTGGGGGGGAGGGGGGGAGGAGGTTTGGGTGTGGGAAAAGGAAGGAAGAAGTGCAAGGAAGAAGGGCAGAGAGGGGCGGCAAGCTTCCAAGACACGAATGAATGAATGCAGCTGTGCACTCACAGACATGCGCACGATGTCATCCAGATCCCCACCACAGGGGCTGTACGCCGAAATGACCTGCACATGGGAATGGCGTGGGCATGTGCATGGGGATGGGAATGGGCATGGGCATGGGCATGGGCATGGGCATGGGCATGGGCATGGGCATGGGCATGGGCATGGGCATGGGCATGGGCATGGGCATGGGCATGGGCATGGACATGGGCATGGGCATGGGCATGGGCATGGGCATGGGCATGGGCATGGGCATGGGCACGGGCATGGGCATGGGCATGGGCATGGGGATGGGCATGGGCATGGGCATGGGCATGGGCATGGGCATGGGCATGGGCATGGGGATGGGGATGGGGATGGGCATGGGGCCATGGGTATGGGTATGGGTATGGGTATGGGCATGGGCATGAGCATAGGGGAATGGGGTGGTCATTTGGGTATATGGGGTGGTCGTATGGGTATGGGGTGGTCATTTGGTTGTGGGGTAGCTGTATGGCCAAGGCATGCAATGGAGATGAGCTGGCACGGTACTGGGGATTGCTGGACATGGGGCCATTGCAGGCAAGCGTGGCTGATGATCACTCACTCCTCGAGTTGCGGACAACCCCATGTGAAGTGAACGAGCTTGGTCAGCTAGATGGAATGGGGCGGAACAGAAGCATTCCACAGCACCATCACACTTCATTGAGTTGAGAGGCATAAAAGAGAGAACGATGCAGTCACACGACTGCCCGCTGCCACGTGGTGTGGTTCCCAGCGGCTCATTGAGGTGGCGAGATGGGAGGGAGGAAAGATACAATCACAAGAGGACGCATTGAGGCTACCAAAGCCCATATCAACTATAACTTTAGTCACCTATGTGTTCAACAACCCTCCAACTCACCTCGGTTTGAACCAAATGCCACCAAATGCCTTGAACGCTCGCTATTGGAGAAGCACCGACACCCCTGCCGTGGCATAAGGCTTTGTGATGCGTCAGTCACCTGCCGTTGCTGCATGCATGTGACAGCAGGTGGCAGCAGGGGGCAAAAGGCGCAAGCGGCAGTACGAGGCAAGGGGGAAGGCATGTGGAGGTAAACATAGCAACATGTGGTGCAGCAAGTCCCTGTAGCGGCATCACGCCTTGTCATGCATCACCCATGCACCGTTGCTCCATGGACCAGCACAGGGCAGCAGGGGCAAAGGGAAAGCACGGGGAAGGAAGCATGTCATGTGGTGACATGAGAACATGGAGCAGGCGGGAAACTATGTTGTGGAAAAAATACAAGTTTGGGGTGACATGGACTCGAGCTGTTCCAAGTGAACGAGAGCACGCACACACCGCCGCCCTTGACCTGCTGCTGCCACCAGCGGTAGACGAACACCTGCTGGAAAAGAATGGGATGATGGGAGGAGAGTGCATTGGAATGATTGGAGGAGAGTGCATCGGAGTGATGGGAGGAGAGTGCAGCAGCGTGGCAGTGAGCATGAGTGTGGGAGTGCACATTGGGTACCACCCATAGCAACTGCGCATGGGTGCGAGGCTGCATTAGTATGTGACCTCAAGATTAGTGGTGCCGGGGTTGCTGGAGTGCACTTTGGATCAGAATGCACGTGAAGAATCAAAGGGGTCTCAGTGTAGTGTTGCAGGCCCATGGGTAGCAAGTGGATGTGCTCCAAACATTTTCAAACCATGCTACTTATAAAATTCACCGCTGCTCTCGTTTTCTTCACAACCATTATGCCAGACGAAGAGGTTTGGCTGCTGCTACAGTCACATTCTGCCACGTGTTCTTGTCCATTTGAATGAATCGACGGTCCAGATTGGCTCTCAGCTAGTCCACCACCGTCTATAGGGTAAACTGGATGGCCGTGATCTGATGGCAGGGGTGGGGGAAGGGAAGGTGGAAAAGAAAGGGGGGGAGAGGGAGAGGGGAGGAAACAGAACGATGAGCGTGTGTCTGGTTCGAATAGCAGAGGGGGTGGGTATGATATGAAGGGGGCAACGGTGTTACATGTTCGCATTGAGGGGGTTTGAGGAGAAATGAATGGATTTAAGAAAAGGGTGGCTAGGAGAGGTAGAGGTGGAGGGGGGGTGGTGAGCAGGAAAAGGTACCATGCAATGTGAACGTGAGGAGGAGGCAAGGAAAGGACAGGATATGCTGGTCCTTTATGGGTGCTGCTGTTCAACTGTGCTAAGCCACCCCAAGTTGCAACCCTAGTGCGTCACCAGGTGCACGTTTCCTGCCACAATCTCCAAACCCCTATTGTTCACGTTGCCTAAAGCAGAGGCAAGTCGTGAGCTGAGCCTACCGCTTTGGTGAGTATTTTGGCATATGAAAGTGCTACATGAAGCAAAATGATTTCGCTATTAGGACGCGGCACCTGTTTTCAAATTGCGACGATCGGAGGAGGATCGGGGCCTCACATCGATCCTGCCACGATCGATGGGCACACCGGTGTGCTCAACTGCCTTTTTTCGATCGCCTGGACACACCGAGCCTCAGGTGCCAAGATCGCAATTTCACGATCGATGTGAGGGCGCAGGCACATCAATCTTGCGAGCCACAGGTCACAAATTTTTGCTGGCATATCTACTGTACGTAAATGAAAATATGCGACAAAGGATACTAGACCTTTGGCGACGTCGTCAAAATACTGTAGAGCCGACACATCGATCCCCGCGAGGATCGATCGTGGCAACTTGAAAACAGGTGCCGCGTCCTTAGGAGACAGTGCTGTGGCATTTTTGCGAAATCTTCTGCAATCGGTCCGTGGTGGGGCATAGCAGTGCAGCCCACAGTGCCTTGGTCGGCCCAGCTATATGTCCAGTATCAAACCAGTTTCAGTATGAATGGGCAAGCACAGTAGGGGACAACAAGAGGCAAGCTCTGCGGGGACAAGAGGAGACAAGGCTTGTGAGGTGATTCTAAAAGAAACTTGGAGGGGCCTGAGGGCAGCATTGCACAGCAGTGGGCGAGCACCTACTTGCTCTGCTCACACAGTATAGAGCACATACAAGGGATACCCGTACTGGGGCACCGTTGCCTGCCACGGGTTGAAGCCAGACTTGGCAACGAGGCTGGAGCCGCCAGAAGCGGAGTTCATGCGCGACGTGGGGCACGCAATGGCAAACGTCCACGTCTTCTTGTAGTCGCCCGCCCTTGTCTTGGCCGTCTTCTTGGCTGTGTACGTCAGCCACGCCTCCGATGCCACCGCGCCCGCGGAGATGGGTGTAGGCATGGGCATTTGACCCGGACGGGTCGGGTAACCCGACCCGACCCGGCCAAAAGGCCGGGTCGGGTCAGGTGTTCTGAATATCCCGACCCGGACGGGTCGGGTCGGGCCTACCCGTACGGGTCGGGTCGACCCGTGACCCGTCAGGGTATCAATTTCACGGGTACCCTTGACCCGTCGGGTCGGGTCGACCCGTGACTCGAAATCGGGTTAAGATACAGAAAGTGTAGGATAGACTGCAATTGCGTTGCGCGAATGGCTCTGCATCGGGCTGTCAAACAAGAGGCATGATAGGTATAGTGTAGGAGGAGGCGTAGGAGAGATCGTGGATAGGGAAACCTAGGTCAAACTTGAAATTCGTACCCCACAGTCGCCAAATTCCTGCACAATGTTGTCTCCAACGAATTTCCCCTCCCATCACCTATCTTCACCGCATTGCATCTAGATCATCCAACCAATTTCAGATTTGAACGCTTGACAGTCGTCACTTTCAGATCTATAACGAAGATGATCGAGGGATTCTCCCCCCTCCCCTTCTGTATCCTGAAGTGGCCCAGCTAGTTAGCTGGTTCACTTCCGAAAGATGAGGTCCCGGGATCAAATCCCCCCTGCGGCGTGTTCTGCCAGCCCCCCAGAAGGGGGTTACACAGGTGCTCATCTGGGAGTGGATAGAACAACCTCGTTGACCCAGCGAGGAGTGTAAACAAATGGGGAGGCGGGTTACGACCGACAGCCAGGTGTGGTTAACACCCAGAGGGGTTTCCCCCCCTCCTTTAACCTAACCCCCCTCCCCTTCTGCGGGAAATACCTTTGCTCCGCGCTTTCGAGCTTATCTTGTGGGAGGGGGAGGGGGGGATTTTTGACACGTGCGGATCTGTGAGGAATTTCGCGGATCCGCGCAGATCTGCGGCGAAATCGCCGATTTGCGAAGATCTACGGCGAAATCGCCGATTTGCGCAAATCTGCGGCGAAATCGCCGATTTGTGCTAATCTGCGGCGAAATCGCCGATTTGCGCAAATCTGCGGGGAAAATCGCCGATCCGTGCGGTTCGTCGGGGGAAGTCGCCGATCAGCGGGGGTGGCGAATTTTTCTTGGGCCTAATTATCCGACCCGACCCGACCCGAGATTACACTACCCGAGGACGGGTCACAGAGACCCGTGCCCCCTATGGCGGGTCGGGTAACAAAAATTTGGCCTATCTTGACCCGCTGACCCGACCCGACCCGACCCGAATCTGTCACGGGTCGACCTAGACGGGACGGGTCGGGACGGGTCGGGTCAAATGCCCATGCCTAGATGGGTGGCGCTGGGAAGTCCTGCACCCACACAGCAGCGCGGGTGCCTGCCTTGATGCTGGTGGGCAGCACCACGAAGCGGCCCTGGGTGGCCGTGCTGCCAGCGAGCGTGAGGTCCAGGGTGCTGGCGGAGTTATCAATGACGGCATACGACGAGTAGTCCTGCGTGCCGCCCTCCACCACGTCCTGCGCCCCCGCGCCCACGTCTGCCGCGATGCTGTACGTGCTGCCGCTGCGCAGCACGTTGTTGAGGGAGCCGGGCAGCGTGGGCATGTCGATGGTGAGGAAGCTGAACGCCTTGCTGCCGCTCTGCAGGTCGGGCGCGCCAGCGCACTCAAACCCCGTGTTGATGTAGTTGGCCAGCATGGGGTTCACGAGCCCGCGCACCGGCACGTGCGTGTGGCCGTACACAACCAGGCTGGCCCCCGACTCCAGCGCGTGCTTGGTGGCGAACCACCCCATGTAGCTCGAGTCCATGTCCACCCACAGCGCCTTGAGCGCCACCTGCACCCCAGCAGCGCCGCCCCCGTTGTCCTGAATCCACCTCTGGAACAGCAGCGCATACTCTTGCTTCGCCTCCGCAATCGTCGTGGTCGTGCCGTCGCGCATGATGATCTCTGCACTCTGATTGGCCCCGTAGAAGCGTGCGTAGGCGTCCAGAACCTGAGGGGCGACGGAGAAGTTGCCGGCCTGGATGCCAAGCAGGATGGGCAGCAGGTAGCTGCCTGTTGAGCTGCTGCTGGGGTTCCCCAGATTCGGCAGGTCACCCACTGTGGTGTTGGGCGGCAGGTGGGCGGCCCAGTATGAGGAGACGACCCGGGAGACGAAGTGCCCCATGGGCAGTGGCGCCCACTTGCTGCTCTTGTCCGGCGCGTTGAACATGGCCGCCTCGTGCCCGTGTGCCATCACCACGCACGTGTCGCCGCCCGGGCTGTAGCTGCGCGCAGCGAACTTGACGTAGTGGCCCCCCGGGGACCTGATCTGCGCCACGTCATCGGCAGTGAGGTGCATGTCGTGGTTGCCGGGGATGAAGGTCACTCGCCCCCCCAGTGCGTCCAGCACGCGCGCGAAGCCGCCCGTGGGGCCAAAGAGGTTGGGGTTGGCAGCGAGGATGGCGGCGAGGGAGGGCGGGTGGGTGTGGAAGGGGTAGCACCACAACTCAAAGATGTCGCCCGCCAGCACCACCTCGGCGATGGACTCATTGCGCGCCACTATGTCGTCCAGCACGCCCAGCAGGTATCCCTCGTGCACGTGCGCCTGGTAGTTCTGCGTGGGGCTGCCGTCGCCGATGTGGATGTCGCTCAGCACCACCACCTGCCTCTTCTCCCCCCACGCCGCCGCTGCCGCTGGCGCAACCTGCACCATCTCCCGCCGCGCATAGTCCTGCCCCAGCGTGGCGCTGCCACCACTGGAGGATAGAGGCTGCAAGACACAGGCGAGCAAGGGGGGGAAATGATGAGGGACTGCTGTCATGATGCCATGCGAGAACCAGTACCTGAATCTCCTTTTTGCGAGATTATGATCATGTTTGACATGACATATGCAGCAAGTAAAGGACATCATTTGGTATAGCGACGTAGCAAACAGTGCTCACTCAAGGGTGTGACGCGTACTATAGGAAGGGCTGAAAAGGCTCACCTGGGCGAGCGGGCTGCGCAGTGCGGCTCTCTTGGCGGAAGCCGCGGCGACGGAGACGAGCAGCAGCGCGGCGGCTGCAGTGGCAAACTTCATGGCTGCCGAAGGCGCTGCCTGGAACACAACGATGTGTGGGGTTGAATGGCTGAGTGCAACTGCACAATGCTCTCATTCACTGACGGGCTTCCAGTTCTTAACAGCCCAGTGGTGCATGACTCCCTGCGCCTACGCCTGCGGCTGTGTGGTCCGTGTGTCATGGGCCAGTCCTTGGCGGCTGGCATACGCTAGCGTCAAAACGCTTGACTTGACACGTCGCGTCCACTACCAATCGCACCGCAGATATTTCCAGGTCAAGCGTTTTGGCGCGACGCGTCACCGCAGAGAATTCCAGGTCAAGCAGTTTGGCTTTTGGCGCTAGAACCTGCGCTTTGTTGAGCCCACCGAGAAATAAAATCGCGCGCCAGCGCTATTTCCAATTTTGACACAAATCGCGAAATCGTGACCCCCAAACTCAGAATGAAAGCACAAACTCTCTCCCAAATCAGCTCCCAACCACACGTCACCGCACAGCATCTAGAAAAGCCAACGCTCGCCACCCACATTCCACCCCCAAAGTCTCCCCCCCCCCCACTTCCTAACTTCCCTAAGCACTTACTACCCTACTGTCTTCCCTGCAGTGGCGCCACGGGGAGCACAGAGAGGGGTTGGGAAAAGGGAACTGGGGGGGGGGGGAGGTTGGGTGGCGGACGCACACAATGGCAGAAAAGCATCTGGTACACCAGAGCAATGGGGGTGGAATGTGCTGTAAGCTACAGCTAATTGTTGGTGTGTGCTGTCAGAGATGGATAAAACGATCATGGGAAAGGTATCCAGTAGGCATGCTTGGATGCCTGAACATGATAGTGTGAGAGTGAGTAGGGAAAGACAAGGGTGACAGATCTGTGAAAAATGGGTGATAAGGGAGGGTCTCACAGGAGGAGGAGGTGAGGGGAGGTGGGGGTCTCAGAGGTGTTTGGAGGCGAGTGGGTATTGAGAGGGCAGCAAAATAGCCTTCAAACGAGTTTCGTTGAGCAGGTTCCTGCGCACGCACACAACGGGAGTAGATTAATTAGAAATCCCTAAGAAAACAACGCACACAAGGAAGAGTTTTGAAACGTCATATGCCTTGCGCAGGTCCCTATTTGATTGCGTTCTTATCTCATAAAACGAGGATAGGAAGGAGAGACAAGGAGAGAAGATTGAAGCGGGGCAATGGAGCGCGGAAGAGAGTGGGACTGGGTGCAAACAGACGCCTTGCCGCGCCCGGGTGAAAGGGCGCGGCGAGAGAGGAGCAGCGTGAGGTGCGGCTGGCAGTATGGGGCGGCTGAGCAAGCGACGACATAGCTGCCGGACGAGTGAGAACATAAAAAAATGTTAACGGAGATCCCGCTTCAAGAAAAGCAGTGACAGTGGTGGATCATATTCTCCGCAAATTGCATACCAGCGCTCGCGGTGGTATAGTTGCTCTATTTGCGCTTTCCTAATATAACGATGGCTGCGATTTATTCCAAAATGAAAGAACAAGACTCAAGAAAATAACGAATCCTGTGTGAATTTGCTCGGCTGAAATAGGTCGAGGAGATGAGACTCAGCCCTGGAACAGAACCTTTCAAGTCCCGCCCCCCAATCACAAATCCAACTCAACGTAGAACTTGTGCTTGCGCCAATCACAGCTTCACTTCCTTGCCACAACACACAGACAGTAAACGGCAAAGCAGCAGCAAAACACATCTCAGATACCCGTGGTGCGGTTTGCCAGCAATAAAAAATCAGCATAGCAGCACCGAAACACAACTGCAGAATTTTCCGCGCCAAACGTGACTCAGAGAGAGGAATAATGCCCAGCCCTGAAGTCTGAAGGGGTGAGATTCCTCCCGACCCCTGAAGGCGAAAAAAGTCGAGCACGCGTTGTGCTGTTACTGATACACCAGATCTGACCTGACCGTAGTAGGTTCGGCATACTAGGTTTGGGTTAGTACACAAACTACCGCGTATAGATGCTGGCGCCACGAATCTAGGCGAGAACATGTGCAAATGAACGAAATGATCTCAGCAATTGCATTGAGAACGAACTTTACACTACAACGAATCTGTCTTTAACCTGCTACACGCGGTTTCTTTTCTACAGGGGATGGCTCCCTGTGTTGTGTCAAAAACCCAACCCCTGTAGCATAGCTCCCTCCATCATAGGGGTACTTCATGTAGGATGCATAGAGTGCTACAGTTGTAGGCATTTTGGGGCCTGAATTTTGTGACGCCATCCACCACTCTTCGCACATATAGTAACAGCCATTTTCTCGTTTCCGCCGCGCCTCGCACGGTTCCAACGTCAACCTGGCGTCAAATGGCATGCGAACCGGTCGGGCAAGGAATGCGTGGATCCTCTCCTGACAAATGCTTGAAGCAATGGCAAGCGTCGTGACTACACCCCATCTCTGTCCCTCAATTAGTTCCCCCTTATATCTCTAATTTGCCTTCCTTATCCCGTGTTTTTAAGGCAATCTTTCAGTGCGCGTTAAGAAGTAGGCGAAACTACCACACTAGTGATATCGTTAGCGGCGCCGCGCGCCGTGGCAAGAATAAGGCTAAGTTGAGGAAGCGACAGCAGGGTAGACTTCCAACTGATTGTGGGTGTGGTTGCTTGTGCGCAGGTTTAGTTCGTCCCCCATCTTAACCTTCCCGCCCCCTCTCACCCCTCCGCCCCTTCTCATCCAGCCCAATTGTGTTTGCGGATGTACGTTTCTTTTCGCCAGGGCCTTTTCTGGCAGTTTTCTCTTCTCAAACTTAGGTAGGGATGATTGAACTATCGAGAGCATTGGTACAAAAGGGAAACCCTAAGGGGTTATACCCCACAGTATCTACCCCACTACAGCCTACAAACAAAAATAACATATGCATATGTTTGACACACCCCCATAGGCAAAGTGGGGGAGAGCAAGAGGTCACAAGACCAGTCAAGAAAAGCAAAGCAAGCTCAGGGTGGATCACAACGTCACCACACACTCTGAGCACAAGCAAAGGGCCACAAGGCTAGTTCACATGCAGAGGTATATATGCAACAAGAACAGTACAGTGATCTCTACCTAGCAAGAGTAAGCATGCAGGTATATATATATATATCACAGTACAATCAAGTCTGCAGCAAGTGAGGAAACGTAGGCACAAGGCCTAACAAAGTACAAAAACGCTGATGATCACCAGACGGAAGTGCCTTGGTGAATATATCAGCAGTGTTGGCCCGAGTGGCCACGTGAGCAAGACGAAGCTGACCTCGCTGCTGCAACTCTCGAGCCAGGAAGTAACGCAGAGCGATGTGCTTCGTTCTGTGCTCCAGTCTGTGCTCCTCACACAAGGCAATGGCAGCCTTGTTGTCGACGTACAGAACTGGAGGAGAACGAGGCCTCTCTCCCAAGTTAGTCACCAGGTAGGTGAGCCAGCGTAACTCCTGTGCAGCCATGGCTGTGGCGTAGATCTCAGCCTCACAACTGGAGCTGAGAACAGAAGACGAGCGTGTAGACTGCCAAGAAACAGAGCCAGAGCCAAGGCTGAAGGTGTGCGGAGATACACTCTACAACGGTAGTGAGCTAGACTACGGGGTAGGCACGAACTACTATGAGTGATCGTAGCTTTGCTTAGTTCTTTAGCCCTTGCGCATACACGGGAGAAATCGGCAAGAGTTTCACTAGGCAAAGTTGGAATTACAGAATGATTGAACAAGCAATGACAGAATGGACTACATCAGGCACCTAGCAACTCTACAGCTAGCCTGGTCGACCGCTAGCACTTCATGGTCGACCGCGTGCCAGAGTTGCGTAGAGGAGCCGCGCCTGCACTGCAGAAGAGCGACCTGCCAACATTGCAGGTCGACGGCGTGCCAACGCTGCAGCAGTGCGGCTGTCCAGCGTTGCTCCGTAGAAGACAGCAGTGCGCACGCTCGCAGGTGCGCGCAGACGATTGGCCCGACTTGCTTCGTTGTGCATCCGTCGGCTGTTGTCTGCGCCTGACGAGCCACATCGACTTCGGGATACCAGCCCGCAGTCGCCTTCGCCATCGTGACCTCAACGACGTTCGCGTGCCTCAGCAGAACTCGTCGAGCAGGTCACCCGGTCGATCCGGACACCACCAGGTGCTCCGGTCGACCACCAGGTGCCTCTGGTCGACCACAGCTCCCTCTGGTCGACCACCAGGTGCCCCTGGTCGACCACAGCTCCCGTCGAGCTACCCCCTGGTCGACGGACCCCTTCCGTCGACCAGAACTGCTCCGTCGACCTCCCGGTCGAGCTGCAGGTCGACGGGATGCTCCGCAGACCTCCCTTTCGAACTGTAGGTCGACGAGATGCTCCGCAGACCTCCCCGTCGAACTGTAGGTCGATGCGATGCCCCCCAGACCTCCCGGTCGAGCTGCAGGTCGTTGGACTGATCCGTCGACCTCCCGGATGGCCCACCCGTCGCCCAGGCCAGTCAGTTGCAGCTGTCGAGCTCCCTGGTCGACAGCAACACCACAGCGGTCCCCTGCAGCTCGACGTAGCCTGTCGAGCAGCTCTCCCACTGTGAACGGTCGGCTGCTACTCCCGTACATCCGACCAAGTCGTCGGCGTTGCCCAAGCGAGGGCGGGGCCAACACTTCATTCCCGTTAACACTCCCCTGCCGCGCTCACGCTTGGGCCTCCAGCCCACACGGCAGTACTCCACGGAGAAAACTCGTCCTCGGCGTGCACCCCACACACAGCACGCCGTCACCGCACCAGCCGTGCAGAAGGGCACGGCACCTACTGCTGCACCTCGTCGTCGCCGTCGCCGACGTCGGCCAGACGAACTTGGCCGATGGCGAAAATGCAGCGCCTTCGTCAGGAAGTCCGCCGGCTGCTCGGTGGTCGGGATGTACTTCAGCTCCAAACTTCCCGCGCCTCACCATGTGCTGCAGCCAGGCGTAGCGTCGCTCCATGTGCTTGAGGTTGCCCGTCAGCCCCAAGCCCTCAGCGACCGTGATTGCCGACTTGTTGTCGACGCGGAGGATGGTCGGCTTCCCAGCGTCGAGCAGCTTGAATTCCCCATGAAGGAAACGGGGTCGACGCCCCTCCTTGCCAACATCTACAGCCGCGACGTACTCCGACTCGGTCGAGGAGAGCGTCGCGCACTTGATGCGCGAGCTCGACCAGGAGACAGCGGCACGTAGCCGCACGTGCTCGTCCGCTTCTGCTTATTGCCCGCGTCGTCGGCATCCACGTAGCCGATCAGCTCCAGCGACTCTGGTCCACCGCCGAACTCCAAGGCGGTGTCGCGGGTGTCGATGACGTAGGCGAGGCAGCGGTCGACCTCGCGCCAATGCTGGTCGCTCCTCACCGTGAGGCCGCTCCCCAGCTTGTTGCAGGCGAAGGCGATGTCCGGCCTCGTCGTTGTCGCCGCGAACTGCAGCGAGCCGACCTTCTGCCGGTACTCCTCCTCCTCGCGCTCCTGGGCCTCCTCGTCGTCGAACGTCAGCTCAGCGTAGGCGTCGACCGAGACCGGCGTCTTCGGGATGCGCCCGCCTTGCTCCTCGTCGATGAAGCGCCTACGCAGCTTGTCGGCGTAGTTCTGTTGGTGCAGCCACAGCTTCCTTGCCGGCCTGTCGCGCACGATCTCCAGCCCAAGGTACTTCACCACCGGCGAGATCTCACGCAGCTCGAAGGCGGCCTCCAGCAGCTCCTTCAGCATCGCGGTGCTGCTGCTAGCGGCGAGCAGGTCGTCGACGTAGACCAGCACCCAGCAGGTCACTCCGTCGTCGCCGGTCTTGAAGTAGAGTGCCTCGCTTTCCTGGCTCTTCTTCCAACCTGCGCCCAGCAGCACACCGTCGAGAGCCCTGTACCACAGCAGCGGCGACTGCTTCAGCCCGTAGAGGCTCTTCAGCAGCTTACACACCCGGCCGGTTCCATCGTCGAAGTAGTCCGGCTGATACATGCAGAGCACCCTGTCGAGCTTGCTCTGCAGGAAGGCGTTCTTCATGTCGAGCTGCATCAGGTTGAGGTCGAGGACAGCGACGATGCTGAGGAAGATCCTCAGCGTGACGTAGCTGCTCACCGGCGAGTACGTCTCGTCGTAGTCAGCGCCGTACACCTGCGTGAAGCCCTTCACGACCAGCCTCGCCTTCTCGCGCTCGACGGTGTCGTCGATGCGGTACTTGGTCGTCAGCACCCACCAGTTCTTCATGATGTTCACTCCGCGTGGGCGTTCGACCAGCTCCCAAGTGCCCATGCTGATGAGGCTGCGGATCTCTTCCTCCATGGCGGCCTTCACCGCTGGACCCTTCCAGCTCGCCAGAGCCTCCTTCACTGTCATCGTCGCGATGTCCCAGCGATGTTCGGG